CATTGCTTGACCTTTGCCTCCTTTTGTCTTGTTCATGTGTTTGTTTTGTTTTACCAGTGGCCTCTAGATGCCAAAGGTAACAGAAGTTGCAAACATTTGATGTTGAAATTGATCTCAGTTTTCTTGAAAAATCTTAGGCAAAACATTGGGATTTGTCTCAGACCTCAATTTTTAATTTAGGGCGGGAGATGGTTTCATTTTGGTTTGAGTGGCTGTTTAGCTATAGGAACTGATCTTGTGCCTCTGGTACAGAATTCCCTCTAAAGTATCTCTTTGTCTGTCAGGTTTGATTTCAGTGTTTCCCTGCCTGAAGTACAGAGAAGAACACTAGATGTAGCAGTGAAGAACAGTGGTGGATTCTTGTCCAAAGATAAAGGGCTGCTTGGAAAAGTAAGTTGACAATAAGCACATTTTGTTAATACAGCTTGTTATTATATAAAACAACAATCCTCTTGACATATGAGTTAGTGTTGATTGAAGCACTTGATTCAGGTATGAAGCTTTCAAAAATTATAGGTGCTTTAGATGTCAGGCTTCAGTAAGCAAAGGGAAAAACTGCAGAGCCAGACTTAGAAAGATGAGGCAGTAATCTCTTCTTGAGAGTGGCAAGTTCACAGTAACAGAAGGAATGTGCTTGTCAGACTTACTAATGATGCTCTCAGAGAAAGGAAAGAACCAGTAGAAACCAGGCAATATTTCAGAAAATGTTCAGACAAAACTGGGAAGACAAACAAGTACTTAGGGAACCACACAAGTAGTTAAATTCCCAGTTTGTAAAATCTATGAAAAAGAGCTGCTACTGGAGACATTCCCAGTGCCAACACCAGCTGTGTTGTTTGTAACTTCAGTGTTCTATGGGTACACATAAAGTCATCTGACTTGCTACACACATGATTTGGAGCATGGAAAAGGAATAGTAACTTTCTGCACCCTTTCAGATTGCCGTATTTGAGCTCTGTGAAGAGGATGAGAGATACAGAATCATGGTCAGTTCATGGTGAACAGTGTCCTCAATTTTCCTGTTCATACGGAAGGCTGTTTAGTAGGAATGCATCTCTGATTGCCCCTGCCATGCTGTGACTTGTTTTGGGGACTGTACCACTGAAGGGTGTGGATTTTAAGGTCAAAAACAGCAACTTGAAACTTTAGGCAGATAGCAGAGAGCTGTGATGACAAGGATGTAAAATACATCATTTACCAATGCCATTGCTTACATTGTAAGGATTACTTACACTACAGGATTATCAGATTTGATCTTTAATAGAACTAGAATGAAAGGCACACACAGTGCATTGATTGATAATTTAACTTTCCACAGTTACTAATACCTCTGGCATCTGAAGAACTTGCTAAAGGCTGGACCCAGTGGTAAGTATAACATTTCCTTTATTAACAGTAGTACTCCACACTAACAATTACTGTGTTAAAATAGTTTTAATAACACATGCTAAATGTTAAAAGCCAACCCTTTGGATTTTTCTTTTTCAGGTATGATTTGACAGAAGATGGTACAAGGCCACAGGGTGCAAGTTAGGCCCATGGACACCAGGAATTCCTCACACATAATTTTGCCAACCTTTATATATTTTTAACGCGTTGTTTTCAAAGATGTACCAATATTATTTTTATAGCTTTACTGATGTAGTTCTTAGACACATCCCCAATAATTTTATAACACTTATTCATTTTATGTGGTCCTAGCCTTCCTCATTGTTAAACTTTGTATTTTATTTTGCTAAACAGTTCTGTGTATTACTGTAATGTGCAATAGTACAGTAAAGTAACCTTTTGTGTTTAATTGATCTTTATGACAACTGTACCTATTAGAAAGTGGAAAGAACATGTTCTGCTGTTTTCCTGCCTTGTTTTATATCTCACCAAGGTATACTGTACCATGTAAATATATACTATTTTTTTATAATTCTTTCATGCTGGTTTGAATTCAGAACAAAATTAGATAAAGGATACAGATATTTTCTTCTAAATGCATGTTAATTTCTTCAGATCAATCTCTTTTGTCTTTGCAGCACAATGGTCTTAATCATTTTGTGATACTCTACAAAAAGAAACTGCAGAAAAACATTTTTACTTTATTGTGTTTCTGGCCCAGTGGGGCTAGCTTAAAATGTATAAAACATTGACATTTTAATATTTATATATAAATGTATTATTGGGAAATCATGCTATAGAATATTATAAATAAAAATGAGAGTTATATAAATATTGTATAAATAGAGGATGAGGTCCACAAATCACAGTTTCTACATCTGAGTTTTCATTTAATGGAGTAAACATTACAAACAGTACAGTTTTATTATACAGGTTCAGTTGGATTTTGTTATTTATTCCTGTACTCTGGAGTACTAGACATGTGACCTTTTGAAGGTATGAGGACATGGATTTTTCTGTATTATACAGAAGATATCTAACCACTTTAAACTGTCCTTACCATGATGTTTCACTGATTTATAAGTAGACAAATCAGCTTTCAAGTTAAGTTCATATAGTAGGCATATGTACAAGACATATGTTATTTTTATTATACAGTACTGTGCTAAAATAGTATGTTATGCGATACCTTCTGTAATCCTCAAATGAACACCAGTAGGTAAAAAAAGTGGGAAACTGAAATGAAACTGGCTGTCTTTGACAGTTGCTTCATTGCTACTTAGTATGTTTGGTGCATGAACAAAATGTACTTCAGCTGTCCACGCAGGTTTCTGAGCAATGCTGTCCTTGTCCTGAAGCATTGCCGTGGGCTGGGCAGGAGGCAGCAGGGACACCATTAGCACAAACTGATCCAAGCAGGCAGGCAGGATCTGAAGGGAGAGTATCAGCCCCAACAGCTGAGCTCCTAACTCTAATTTTATGAATTATGGGAATTTTTTTTTATATTCAGAATTGATTTTTCTTTTTCTGGTCAGTTTTTTTCAGACTGTTAGAAAATTGTGCATTAAGAATCCAAACAGCTTAGCTTTTGCAGAGCCAGTGTCCTCATCCTTGGAGAAGTATGCAATTAGACAAAGTATATTATTTAGATAAGATTCTAGAATGATGTCTCAGCCAAGAAAGAATTCTAAAGTAGAATGATAAGCTCCTGAAATTAGCTTTATTGTAAGACTACTGACAGAACCTTAACTCTAGGTGTAGAATTTGTCTACATTACTAGATGTACCAAAGTGCCTACCATAGATGTAGCTTTTTGTCTTTTTCAAGTCTAAAAATTTAAGTTTGTCTCAATTCAATTTAACTTGACCATCTGTTATGGATATGTGTGACCTGCACCATACACCTCTATACAGTGATGGCCTTTTCATTGCCACGTTTTATACAAGACAATTTAATCAAACAGTTGTGCATTGTAAATTGTACTGTAACTGCTCGTACTAGGCTGGGAAATAGAGATTCTTTGTAAGAAAACATTTCCATTTGAAGGCTTCACTGTATATTGGAATGTATGAGTAGCTGTATATTCACTCATCTATCCATATAAAATATATTATGAAATACATACTTTCTTTGCTAATTCTCCATTAAGATGTTAAGAATGGAAAGACAGAGAATTGTTCTTAATGCAATGAAAATGCAGAAACGAAATGCTAATCTGAATAAATGAGGTCTAAGAGTAGCCGTTCAACATAATTATCTTTTGCCTTGGTTCAGTCTGAGGTGGAAGGATTTTTGCTCTACATCACGGCCAGTGACTGCACAGTTTGATCTGCAGCAAACAAATAGTGTGTTAAACTGATTCAGTGTTTCAAGTCTTAAGTGCAGTCTGGGGACAGAAAACTGCACTTGAACAAAAAAGAATTCTGTCTTTTAAAGTTTCAAGGGGGAAAATAATGCCCTGTTCAGGCAAATGTGAAAGGATAGCACAAAGTGAGTAATCAAATAAAGAATATAGGGCAGGTTAGCTCACTACCTAAAATTAGGGATTGGTTCTTAGAGATCCCATTTTCCATTTAGGAATCTGAAATAAAGAGATTGAACTGTCATTGCAATTCAGCAACTAGAATTCCCATATTCTATAAACAGTTCTGGATGCCAGATCTTCAGAAACATTCTCCTGAATGAATTTGGATCAGACTGTGAGTGCCTAGATGAGATCGATTCTTTGGATAGTAGATGCAACTTTTGTATTACCAAATTCCAGTTGTTCCATTTATATGGAAGTAGGAAGGACAATTTTGCCTTTGGGCACAAATTGCACCTCATTATCAAGTCATTTATTCAATATCAACTGACAGCTTTTCATGTAGTTCTTGTTTATTCTGTGCCTTAAAATATGAACATACTAAGATGTTTAAGAAATGGTTAAAAATAAGCTTTGTTACCTGTATGTACCAACACATGTTCTGTACTATTGAAACTGTTTTTAGAATTACTCTGCTTCACTGACAAGAAAACCAGCTTTCTTAATTATAGCAGTGGTATAACTCGAACTCAAATCAGCATGCATATCACTTGGAGGTGGACTAAAAGAGTTTTAATTTTCTGTCTTGAATCCTTTATCAGAGCTGCAGCAAATGGTGAGAGTTAAAATGAGAACAAAGGGTAATCAATTTTGTACAGATTGCCTTTTTTTGCTCATGTAATTCTACATTATGATGCATGTATTTATTCAATAAATGGTTCATATGGAAGTCAGTGTGTTGCTTCCCTCTACACACACACACCCCTCTTCTCCTCTCTTACATATCCCTGTTCTAACGGATAATTCAATGAAGTAAATCTTTAAAATAGTTCTGTATCCAGCCTTTTGTAACCCAGGTAGCCTTGCTATAATGTCTGTAGGCAGATTTTCAGATCTTGCATGAGAGAAAGTGGAGTGAGAAGTGCAGGATACTTTATGGGGATTTCTGTGCTTGTTACTCTAGAACAGATCCACACATAAGAGTTAGTAGGTCCTTTGTTCAAATTCAGTGTCTAATTTTTTTCTCTTAAATTTCTTAAATATTTTTTATTATAGAATTTTTTCACTTAAATTGATCAATTGCACACACAAATTGTCATAATTCTAGCCCTTATTAATTAATTGCCAATAATTACACTTTTAAGAGGACCTAGACCTGTATTTAATTGCCTTATATTTAGAATCAGCAGATTTCTACCTGCAGCATTCTTTCCTATTTTTTCTTTTGCTTGGTAAGGCAAATATTGATGGAAAATATAATGATGTACTGCATAAATTAGAAAAGGGGTGTTGGATCCTCTATCCATTCCAGAGTGTTGCAGTGCATTGTTGTTCATTATATTTGATTCAATTACATTCTTTATTGTTAAGTTGTACCCCTCCCCATGTTAATACGTTGGTCCCAATCGTGCCCTCCTACCCCAGTTGCCAATCCACCCTGATACCTGCCCCTTGTTCCCGAATGTTCCCTGTTCCCCCTCCCATTAAGCTGTCAATCCTCCCTTGTGCCAACCCCCGGCTGGACCGCCCCCTTTTGAATTCCCCTATTCCTCTGAGCCCCCATTGGCCCATGTGCCCCACTCTCCTCCCCTGGTGTTCCCCATTGGTTTGTGTATTATGTAACCCCGCCTTGTGCTCCTCCCCTAAGTCTTCCCTATTGGTTTATTATTTGTACACTCCCCTTGCTCCTCCCCCACACATAAGTTGCTGTACCCCTGCATCTTTTGTCTTTCTTCCCTGGAACCTTCGAGAGAATAAATCCCTTTTGGAAACCACAGGGAAGACCTCTCCCTCGTCCTTGCTCCTGCCCTCGACGCTGGACAGCCACTGCTGTAGAGCATCAGCCCTAAGCTGCTCTGCTTTCCAGGAGCAGCCCTCTCTTGGCTCGGTGCCGGGAGCTGGCTGGGGAAAAACCCAGCTCCACGTCACCAGAGAAACTGTCTTAGACATTCTGCTCTTTGCATTAAATATTAATTTATAATTAGTTATAATTCTGTAATTAATTATACCTCTTCCCATAAACAGCTACATCTTGTCTGAATTCATAATATTCAGTCAGTTTTCATCAGACATAAATAAATCTGCAAAACTTCATCAACCAGTCACTGTCCCATTAGAATGGGCCCCACTGGATAATCTTTGATGTTACTAACTACAAAATTATGTTCCATTTTGGTTTGAGGTTTCTTTTCCTTAGAGGAGATGCATCCCTTTTTTAGTAGAATAAAAAGCATCTGCTAATCAGTGGGAAGGCACCTGAAGCCAAGCATGGCTGTCTCCACATTTCCCCCATGGCAAGGTGGTTCTGGATTGCACGCTCCCTGGCAGTGATCAGGTGTCAGCATTTTCCTGACTTGGGTCAAGATCAAACCTTCCGTTTGGTCCTGCAAGACAGGTGGTACCTGGATCAGCACTGCCTGTGTATTCACAGATCTTAGTATAAGCAAAAATAACTCTGCAAGACATTCCTGCAGATGGCTTTTAATTTGGTATTGATTTGATGGGCTCACCCCAGCCTAGGATTCTTTGTATTTGCTGTACTGTTTAAACTGGTTTGGGCTTTTAGTTCATCCAGTCTCCACCCAGGAGCAGTGTTTTTTGATAAAGTTATCAGTGTGGCTATTTTCAGTATTTTCTCAGCTAAGAGCTGAATACAAAATTTGTTTCCTATTAAGTACCTCTTTTAATCAGTTTAATTGTTTATATTCTCCCCCAAAGAAACTCTGAATGTTGGATGGTACCTTTAGTAGAAAGAACCAAAACTGCAGATTATCCTGGACCCATCTGTGGTTGTAGCTGGCTGCTGAAGCAGTCAGGTTATTTAATCCCAAATGGTGGTTCTGTATATTCTAAACAGTCCAACTGTTGTGTGCTTTCCTACTGGTTTCTAAGGAAGTCAGGCTCTCAACAGTATTCTCAGGCACCTTCTGAAATATGTTTTATGAGAAATGCAAAAATCCACTTGTATTTCTTTCAGTGTTACACAGTAAATTTAGCTGCCAGAGTAGATGGCAGCTGGGAGGCAAGTTCTCTAATTTGTATTCATGGGATAGAGGTGATACTCTCTGTTCTCTCTGACTGCAGGGAATATTGCTTGCCAGTCATCTGCAGTGGAATCCAATTTGAGTAAGGTCCTGCATCTCTGTTTTCGCAGACACCACTAAAATGAAGCCAACCTGTCTTTCATGTTAATCTTTGAGTCCTCAGTAGCTGTAAACTTTATAGCAAGGGAATTAAGGCCTAATAATGATCATTCTTCCCTTTAAGATCCACACAGAAACATGTCCAAGCCCAAAGCAAGGCAAGATTCCAGCCTTTCACCCAGGCACTGGAAGGGCTGGTTCCAGCCTGGGGTGGTTTGTGGCCTGGAGACACGTGGGCCATTCCTGCAGGACCTGGTAACCCAACCCTCAGAGCTGGGCACCAAGCACCTCTGTGCAAGAAATGACACAAGTTGTGATGTCCCTGCACCCAGCTGTGTGGTAAGGAACTAATTTATGATCAATTTTATTTATTAATTATTTAAGCAAAGTAGCTCCTTTCTGCAGGTGTTGCTGGTGTTGGTGAGGTCTCTTCCAGCCTCAATTCTATGGCTCTGAAGTATATTTTTTTAAACATTAAGGTAAGCTCAGGAAATGTGCTGGAGCTCTGTGTGCTTCTGGCCTGTGCTGTAGGTCTTCCTGGGCATTTTTCTTCCTGAGCCCAAGCTCTCAGGGATGGACATGTAGCTACTCCAGCTGGGCAGAAACAAGGAGTCACACAGCTGGAAGCTGCAAGCTTTGCTGAGTCCGCAAAAATTTGATAGGAATTAAACATTAAACATTAACATGTGCACAGAACGTGAGTTGTAACATAGATAATTCTAGCAAAATGGTAATTGTAGGTACTGAATGAAGGCAAATATCTGGGACAAGATCCCTAAACCCAAAAAGGGTGCATTTAAGAGAGGTTGTTTCCAGCATGAAATTTCAAACAAGTTTTTTTTATCTTTTATTCTAGTTGAATTTGAAAGCTGGTGGGTTATTCTACAAATTCTGAGAGCCTGACAACTAGAGCTTAGTAAGCATGTCACAACGATTAATAATAGAGAATGTTTTGCAAGACAGTTTCATGCAGACTTCCTATGGAACAAATATTGATGGGCTGAAACCCCTGATGTATTTTGCATGATTGTTGTTGCTGTCTCTTGGATTAAGTTGCAGTTACTGTGTTGCAATGTTTTCCACCTCCAATTTATAGGAAAGTTTATCTAGTTTTGCATGAATCATGAAATTCTCTGAGCTCAAGTAACTATGATAGCTGCTGAATGGCTGTTCTGTTGTAACTTTCAGCTCAGAGTCCCACTGGATACATCTCATGAACTGACAACAGCATCCAAACAAAGGATTTGGATTGTCACTAGACTTGCCATTTATCCAGGTGATGACAATGAAATAAAGGGTAAAAGTCGGTTAATGGAAATGGACATTCATGACTCATGAATGGCATTGGTAGCACTGCTGGTTCTTTGTTTTATTTGGTAAATCATTAAAAAAAATCATGTAAAATAAGTTGGAATCTAAAGTTTAAAAGACTAAGATTAGCTTTCTGACAAATTTCAATCTTCGTTTTAGGCAACTTTCTTCTATGCCATATTTTTTATTCAGTATGTTTTTTCAAGTTCATTTTCAAGTTCATTTTCAAGATTATTTGAAACATAAAAAATTACCAATTTCTATTTTTTTAAATAAAAATACTTAGTTTTGCATATCTTGTTTTGCACTTTGAGACATTAAAGTTTTTCTGTGTAGAGTCATTAGTGCTCAATGTTTATTTCTGAAGGTACTGTTATATTCCACTAGATGGTAGTGCAGACCCTATTCTCAGAATCCTTTTTTGCTGCTGCCTGTGCACTTCGTTTCTGGTACAATAAGGAAGTGGTCTGGATGAGAGGCATGTTTGGGAGTCCAGCCTCAAGTCACCCTGGCTCAAAAGTGGTGAACAACAGGTATGGTCCTCACCATGCTCTGCTCTTCCCCTTTTCTCTGAGGCACCAGAGATCCTAAAAGAATTTAGTTTCATAATGGGGGATTCCGTTTGCAAAAATGGTTTTGTAGAGATTATTTAGTCATGGGGCACAGGGAAATTAAAAAAATGGTCCATGATGTCAGGAAACATTGAACTTCTGGAATATTAAGGTTCTCAGTTCACCAGAAATTCTGCATGCTTCTGTCTGCAATTTACCATACATAGGTGTTTCATGCCTTAGATACCAAATTAGATTTGATTCTAGAACTCCCTTGAGTTGCTGACACAACTTTAATGAGACTAAGTGCAAAAAAGTTGAAATTAATCAGAAACAGGCAGAAGTGAAATTACAGTTTAGGACATAGAAAACGGCCTTAACCAGCACATCTGAAACATCCCTATGCTTAAAGTATTTATTGTTGATTCAAGTATGTGGCTAGAAACTCGGGATAGCTAACAATGAAATCCATCATGGAGCAGAACAATAAACACAGGGATAAAGGGAAGACAGATAAAATTCCACTAGAAAAATTAAGGTAAGAATCAATTTTCCTTTGTTTAAGGACATGATCAGAAAGTTTGCTAAAACACAGGTCTTGTGATGATAAAACTGTTTGATGCCCAGAACAGGAATAAATGGCAAGTATGTCTAAACTTAGTGGATATGGAAGCCCTCACAGGGGTCTGACTCCCCATTTGCCCTCAGGCTGATACTGCACTGCTGTCAGTTTTGCATGAAGGCAGCAGGACATGCAGTCTGTAAAAAACCCCAATGAGCTTTGGTCAGGCTCCTAGTCTGGATCAGGGACATGGGGAACACCCTTGCTGAAAAAGGAGCACAGATGTGAGAGACAAATGAATGCTGGGATAATGTCCAAGCAATGCAAAGTAGTTTGTTGTGTGTTTGTTTATAGATGTATAAACTAATATGGATGAGCAAATCATGTCCATTCTGATATTTGTACAGTATTTTAATATTTTGTACTAGACAGATGGAAGAGAGATGGTGTCATATCTAAATGATGCATGTCTATCACAATGAAACCTCTAAGAGCACTTCTAAAATTATTAATAACAGTGATTTCGTACCTTAGAAGCATTTTTTCTCTTAAAGACTAAAATAGAATGAGAGCTGCAAGGAGATAGGACACTTATAAGAGCAGTAAATCTCTATCAGAATGTAATTTAATGGGGTTAAAGTAATACAGACATGGCATTTGTAATTGGAGTGTTTTATATCTGAAATTAACTGACAAACTAGTATTATAAATTTACTCAATGATACATAACATTCTGGGAGATGACAGTGACTTTATACTAGAAAATGTTTGCTTTAGTTGTAATGAAAAATTACACTCCCTTTTTTTACAGTGGGATGGATTCAGCTATGCAAATACTGCCATTGTAATTTCTTTTTGTGAGCATCTTATAACATTTCAGAAATCTTTCCATTTTCATGGTACTAATAGTGAGCAAAGAAAAATTATAATGACTTGCAACACTGCTTATAAGCAAGTGATAACAGTAAGGGCATAATAATACAGCAAATAATAATTATAGGCCCACGGAATGGTTTGAGTTGGAAGAGACTCTAAACATCATCTATTTCCAATACCCCTGCCACGTGCAGGGGCACCTTCCATTAGACCAGGCTGCTCAAAGCCCCAGCCAACCTTGCCTTGCACACTTCCAGGGATGGGACATCCACAGCTTCTCCAAACTGTCTCTGTCAGCGTCTCACCACCCTCACAATAAAGAATTTCTTCTCAGTATTTAATCTAAAACTGCCCTCTGTCAGTTTAAAACCATTCTCCTTGTCCTATCTCTCCATGCTCTTACAAAAATTCCCTCTCCTCACTTGTAAACCCTTTAGGCACTGCAAGATGCTCTAAAGTTTCTCCAGAGCCTTCTGTGCTCCAGGCTGAACACCCTCTGCTCTCTCACCCTGTCTCCATGGGAGAGGTGCTCCAGCCCTCTTCATGATATAATAACTAAGTATTTTGTCATAACAAAGCAAATAAAATTAATTTACTGTGTTTTCCCAGCTTAAATTGAGCAGGGTGTGGATCCCTGCAGATCCCGGCAGTAGCGGGGAGCTCCCGCCGGGCGGCACTTCAGGACTTCGGTACCGTCGGCAGCGACTCCAGGGAGTGGCTCTCCCGAACAGCTTTTGCATTCCCTTTGCGCATTTTATTTCCTTATTTTTGTGTGAGTTAACAAGGATAATTTTTTTTTGCTTCTGCAGTGATTTTTTTTTTCCTACTTAATCTCTTAAACTCTAGAATTGATTCATGTTAATATTAATAATTTAAGGGAAATAAGCCTTTTCACGGTCTAATCACACCAGCATTGAGAAGTGACAGTTGCCTCTGAATAAAGGATGGCATGATTGGCAGGATTACCTTCAGGCAAGGGGAGATCTGGAGAAGTGGAATAGTGTGAAACTTCATCTCTCTCCCATGCTGTTCGGATTATTTATCAAAGTATGTGAAGATCAAAAAAAAATCAAGGGAAATGCATGCATGTAAATTATTAACAGCCTGCCTCAGAGGATGAGCAGATTTTGTTCATACTGTATTAACTATAACAAATTTTATTACATATTCAAAGAAAAAGAAATAGAAGTTACAACTGCAACATGGTAGTAAATAATGAGTGAAATAATCTCATAAGAAACTATTATCTACAAAATAACATTGTAAATATAAGAAAAATATTGTCAAGAAAGCATCTGACATTCAGGGAGCTACTTGTTTATTTTTTATTTATATTGTTGACTCTTAAGAGGTTGAAATGGAATGCCTGCTGTAGCCCAAACAACAATATTCTGGTGTGAGCCATCTGTAACCGAGATCTCTAATGCAGGCCACCAACAAGAATAAAGACTGGTTCATGAATCAGTAGCACAAAAGCAAATCTTTATTTGCTGTTGCTCAGCAACCATGTGCAAAAGGCCCATTTTTCATTTTTACCGTAACTTGACAGGAAAATGATAATAAATATTAGATTATTATCACAGGGTATAGATTATTTTGAACAGATGAACAGATATGTCAAAGAGAGGCATGTAATTTGGTCCTCTTGAAAGGAAGAATATTAGAGAAACTGAAAATAGAGCTGTAGGTTTATTACTGGCTTGCAGTTTATGCTCAGTTCTTGAAAAAACCTAGAGAAAATTATTCTGCCTCTCTTGTTTCTCTATGTGGTCCTTTAAAATGAATCACTTGGTGTTATTCAGCTTGTCGTTATCTGTATCAACTTCTAGTTTCAATACTATGAAAAAAAATCATTCTGTGATTGCTATGCAACAGAAATTAAAAGCTAAAATATGTTTTAGTTTGTTTGCTAAATGGATATGTGCCTAACTAAATAAACAGTAACCAGGTGACTAATGTAGCATCTAATTAAAGACTAATCAAGGTATTAATGAAATATTCAGTCTACCTGAGTCATGATAAATAAATCCATCAGTTTGGATCTAAAATGGCAAAGATTTTTAATATATGCAGAAAATTTAATATAGGCAGACATATATTATATGTATATATAATATACATTAACATAATGTATAAATGTCAGGTGGTATACTTCTTCATTTGTTTTTACAATTCTGCAGGTATGCTGATTGCTCATGCAACTTACTCCAAGCAAACTGTTTCACAGGCTCCTTGCACTTAGTTGAACTTGGGAAATAGTCAGGTATACAGCATCTGAAACAAGCTGGATTCTTACATCAAATAAATGTGGCAGAAAATGAAAAGATCTTAATTTTTAATATAAACTGAAACTGTGAAAGGCAGGGCTATTAGGGAAGGTTATATATTAAAAAATAAAACAGCAGAAGATGTAAATGCTACTTTTAAAGGAGTGAATTTTTACATTTAATACTAAATAAAATCTGAATTACATCATATTTTTTAAAATTACAATCCTGAAAAGTCTAACCAGATGTGAAAATTTCTATAGAAATTATAGTTGGTTTTCTATTTGTCTGCACAGTAAACCATCACATGCTGTACTGCTTCTACAGACTGAAAGTAAATTACTTCAGTTATGCACCTCTCTCTTCTGAACAGGCAACACTGAGAAATGCTACTGAAAATGCCAAAGGGAAAGACATAAATTAAGCCCTTAACAAGACATTTTTACTGGTTTTGGTTTGCAGAAGAGCTCAAACAAATGGAATGAGGAATATTACAGAATTCAAGATCTGACTCTATTTCCAAACACTGCAAAGAAGAAACAGAAGACACAATTTCTTGATATAATAAAAAAAAATCCTTAGTTATCCAAACTCTTATCATCTGCCTTACATAGTCTCCTACACCTTCAGGCATACAGGCTGTTTAACTCTTGATTGCTTTGGATGAAGAGTGCAAAGTACTCATATTGTTCACCAGGACTGTGAGTAAAAGCACAGCTGTCAGCAAGAGCATCAATAACATTATTGGAGAAAAAAGCCACCAGTGAAATCAAATGCATGATGTTATAAACGGCAATATAGTATTGGCTTTCCATTTATGTATTAGCTTTGGCATATTATTATTAACCACAAAGATGTTGATATGGTACAATTTATATTTTCTTTTAACTGCTTTTTAGGATAGTATAATATATGAGTTTATATATGCATCATATAGCTTCTATAAATAGTAATTTGATAAATGTATTATGTCTTAGGCCGTGGCGTAATATTAAAATGGACTATGTGATGTTAAAATGCTTTTATGTAACTAACTCAGAGACTAGTGCAAGATAATTAAGTAGTTTGTCACATTTGTAGACTGAGAACAATGACAAAAACCAGAACCAAATTTACTAACTCCTCATTATCAGAGTGTAAAAACAACAGGACAGAACCACGAGAAGAAATAAAACATATAAATTTAATCTACAAGATGGCATGAAGACAAGTCGAAAGTTAAAACTAAGCAAAAGAACATCTAAACTCAAAGGAATGTTTGAATATGTGTAAGCTCTTATAAATATGCGTGTCACCCCTGTAAAGTAACAGGATATAAAAAATACTGTTTTAAGCTTAGGGTGTGCTTTTGGCAGATAGCCAAGCACCCTAGCGCTGGATTTTGTCCCTTTTATTCCTTATTAAACTTTAAAAAATTTTAAAGAGTCAAGTTAGTTTTTCACAGTGATGTTTTTATAAAAGCATTTAGTCCACGTTACTTGAGATCCATGGAAGAAGGAACACTGTTTCTTAAGCATGAACATGAATTTAACTGAGCGTGTCTTATCTTACCCCCATTTGGAAACACTGACAGTGCAGGTAGGTAAAGAAAGGGAACAGTGAACGGGGCGGTAGGTTTGAACCACGGCAGCTGCTTCTCGGTAACTGATGGGATGTTCCCCCGGGACAAGCCATGTGTCCAGCCAGCCTGTGTCAGAAAGCAGCGGAGGAAGGAGCCTTTCAGCTCCGAAGCTGCCGGGAGCAGAGCAGCCCCGCTGCCCTCGGAGCGCTGCCGGGGCTGGGCCGGGCGCTGCGGGCACAGGCGGTGCTTAGCGATGGGGCCGGAAAAGGGGATGGGGCACAAATCCTACAGGGACCGGCTGGGGAACCGGGCGGGGGGGAGGTGGTCAGCCTCGAAAAGAGGAGGCTCAGGAGGGACCTTATCGCTCTCTACGGCTCCCTGAAAGGAGCGTGTAGCGAGCTGGGAGTCGGGTTCTTCTCCCAGGTAGCCAGGACAACAGGACAAGCTGCGCCAGAACAGGCTCAAGCTGCACCAGAGGAGGTTCGATCAGGAGAAATTTCTTCACCGAAAAGGTGACTGAAATGGGCTGCCCAGGGAGGTGGTGGAGTCACGGTACCTGGAGGTGTTTAGGAAAGACTGGACGTGGCACTCAGTGCCATGGTCTCGTTGACCTGGTGATGTTCGGTCATAGGTTGGACTCGATGACCTGGGAAGCTTTTTCGAGCCTAGCTGTCTCCGGTTCCCTGAGTTTTAAACCCGAACCCGGCTGCGTTACCCAGCACCGCCTTTTTCCCACCCCGCCCTCAGCCGTGCCGCGCGCGGGAAGGGGCGGGGGCGGTGGCCGAGCTCTCGCGAGACGAGGCGGGAGTTCCGCGGCGCGCGCTCAACGTCAGGCGCGGGAGGATTTGAAAAGTGGCGGGTGAGGGAGGGAGCGGGCTGGGGGTGTCCTGGGCTGTCCACGGGTGTCGCCTCCGAGCGGCTCCTGGGGCCGGTGTCTCCTCCGGCGGTGCTGCCGTGCGATCTTCAACGCGCGTGTCCGCCGGCTTCGTTCCGCTCCGGTGGGGTGGCGCCGCGGTGTTGGAATCGCATTCCGCGGGTCCATGAGGGTTCGGCCGCTCTGAGGGAGCCCGAGGTAAGCGGCTCGTCCGGCTTCCCGCTGCCTCCTCTGCGGGGGCCTGGCGGGAGCCCCCGGGTGACTCGGGGCGGGGCCCAGGAGCGGCCCTTGCCCTGCTCTGTGGTGTGGCTTCACCCACTCTAAATATGTAAGTCACTTTCCCAACTGGAAAAGCACGTCAGGAGACACCTAGGATGGAGGGAATGTTTACGTGAGCAAATAAGGCTCTTGGTGGCCTTTCCCCATTTCCTATGGTTTTCACTTGACAGTCGAGAAAAGAGACCATTTTACTACCCCTCTGTGCTTCTGATACAAATAAATACTGCTGGGAATGATGACCTGCTTAAATAGTGGGTGTGTGATGGAGAATCCATTGTGTTTCTTAAAATCAAAATATCCATTAAAAATTTATTCTAAGACTTATTTACTTAAAAAAAACCAAACCATACAGAAACCCAAACAAAAAACCCAAAAACAAAACAACAACAACAAAAAAACCCTAAAAAGAAAGCAAGCCCTGCAGCCTAGTGATGTTGTGAATCTAAATGCTGATTCAGATAACTAAAATATGTTGGAGGGGAAAACTACTTTACCTATGTAATACGTGTATAACTACTGTAATATATGACATACATATATATAAATGCTATGTATATAACTGATATATGACTACAACTGAGACCAAATGATCTTGTTTTGATATACAGTACCTTCTCTAATTTTATGCTTTGTTTATAAAGTAGGGAAGGCCAATTCCAGGATGAAACGCAAAGCATTTTTGCAGGTTGTGTCTAAAGAGTCAATTGAAGACTTCCTGCGTTACACTCAGAATCCTGTAAGTGAGCCAGTGTATACATACTTCAATTCTGGAGTCATAAGTCTGTTACAGGTGCAGAAATCATGTGACAAAGGGACAGAAACTATTTGTCTGGTACTTGCAGATGTGTGGGAATAATTACTATTGAAAATAAGTTTAAATGGCACTTGAAGGAACATAGGCTGAAAAAGCTGTGGAATCTGAAATATGAATCTTTATAATAATATAATATATATTATATATTATATATTTAATTAATAATTTATTTATTCTTATAATATTTTATTACATTTATAATATTTTTATATGTGATTGTTCCACATACTGTTTTTAAAAAATAAATTACTGTGGTAATTAAAAAAAATTAATAATTTAATGTTGCTGAAGTATTACATTTTTAAATTTCAATCTATCAAAGAGTTTACTGGTATATAATGAATGTGAGTTAATATACAAATGTAGCAGAATTGTGTTTCACTAGTATTTGTTAATTCATTTGATAGTTTTGGCTGTCCACTTGTTCTTTGGTCATTGTTTGATTTTACTTGAATTGTTCTTTCTGTCTCTGAATGCTTTAGAGAAGGGGTAGGTTACTTTCCCTAAATGAAGTGCGGAGAGAACAAGGAGGAACAACAAAACAAATCCCCTGAAATCTGCTATTAAAATTTCTTTTTCACAATGTGTATATATTGCATAATAATGAGAAATAATAATTTGCATTGAGGTGTTTTCCACTCAGCTTCAATCTGTCTATTAAGATATACCTGAGTTCTTCTAAGTATCTTTTTGCTTGCTGCCGTAAATGGTATTGTCAAGTTAGTTTCTTAAGCTTTCTAATGGGTATTTTCCTAGTAGTACCTGTATCAGGATAAAGTGGATCAGTTGACCTCTATGCACACAGAGGCATGAACTGATTTAATGTAGCAACTATGAAACCCACAGTCATGTTCTATATAATAAGCTTACAAAGTTTGTCTTCCAAACATCCTTGAATCTTTCCCCAAGAAATTTGCTATTTCTTTCATTTGTGTACCTGTCTGTAGTTATATATGACAACTTTATTACCAGATTGCCTCTGCTTTAAGTCTTCTTCCCATTTTTCCCTAAATCTAAACACTTCAGCGAAAAACTATTCACTTGAGTTTTCACTTGCAGTGTTTCCTTTTCAATTGATTTGGTTGTGTTGATTCTGCCATCTGTATTCAGTAATTTATTTTAATCTGCCATGGGCAATTTGGATTAAAAATAGGGAGGGTTTTCAACCTTTTATTTTTCATCACAAATTCACAGGATTTCTCTTGCAACAGTTTTTAGCTGTTGCCAATATCTCTGGAAACTTTATGTCACCAGCTGCAATGAGTATATTGAAAAAAATTGTCTTCATGCTGTTGTAGTGTAAGGGAATATGAATATCCACATGACTTTTTGACTGTCCAAGAGACTTGAGTTATTTTATTAATTTCCTCTTGAAACCTTCTGCGATGGAGGATGTGTGACCACGTCTTGTCTTAGTATGAGAATCCTCTTTTTTGGATCTCCCTTGAAAAATTCTTGGCTGTTTTTGTGGAGGAGGCTGTAGTTAAATAAATCGTCATAAAAGCATTATATTTGCTACTTAGTTGGTGCTCTAGCCTTAGAATTTGCCTTTTAAATTCTCTCGAAAGTTCTGTTTTTAGCATCACTGCTTCTTTCCAAGTCTGATTTCTACACATGCCCCAACCCCCATTTTACTTCCTCCTTGAATTTTTTCTTTTCTGCACTCTCAATGTTTAGATTGATCAGTGCTTTCTAAAATTCCAGGGCTTAGCTAATTTTCCTTCAAGGTTTCTCATGGGCTTTTCATTTTTTCCTTTGTAATATTTTAAAAACATCATATTGTAATGCTATTCATTGAGATCTTCAAGAGGTGCTGATATTTTTTTCCACTAAATCCCATTCCAATTCAAGAAAATACATAATTTCTTAGACAGAAAAATAGGAATCACAGATATGATTGTCATTCACTGTCATCCTTTCCCTTCATAGATTTTGGAATAATTCTATCTCATATCATCCTGAAGAAAAATTTAAAAGCTCTGGTCTTATTATGAATTCATTCTTTCTGTTCAAAACGGTACAATCTTAATATCCTGTCTTTTGGGTTTGTTTGAAGCACAGGGCTGCAGAACTCCCTGTAAGGCCGTTGGTTTATTGTATTTGTTCTCAGTTGTAGAATAGAATAGAAGTTCTCTTATAAATATGTAACAGGATCTTTCTTCTCATACCCTTCTGGGAACTTTCTAATACTTATTGCCACTTCTTTCATTCCTTTCTGGTTTTACCTTCAACTTTTTTCTTTTTGATGCCTTGCAGTGTATCTGCAGAGTGAAAATATGTTTATTTCAAGATCATGGACATTCTCTTTCCTCTGAAGTGGTTTTGAGCCACTAAGTCTTCACTTCAGTATTACAAATTACGTCTCAGAAATTATCTGTTCTTTCTCTTGGTTATGCCTGGTTTTTCTTCTCATCTTCTCTCTGCATATTCCTTTTCCTAGCAGGATGCCTATCCTTCTTTGATGCTAACAGACTCCTTGTGCCTCTGAGGTAAATTCTTCTAGAAAAGTTCTTACTAGGAAATAGTTCAGATCAGCCTTGTGGTGCAGTCTCTACCGGAGACTGATGGTGGCTTTCCTGTCAGCAGGGCTTCAGCAGGAGGTGTGGGGTCAGCTCGGGAGCTGGGTTTGATGTGGGGCTTTAAACCACTGCAGTGTGCAGAGCTCTGATGTGTGCAGATCATATCCCAAATTAGTGCTGTACCTATGGTTCTTCTGAGCATTATGTTTCCAGTCCTTGGCTAAGGATTTTCTTTCAACAGCCATCATCAATCAATATATAAGAAAGTAAAGATATAATCAGGGACTTAAATTCTGTGCATTTTTGAGTTTCTTAGCTAAGGGTATGGAATTGTCTTCATTGCTATCAAGGGCTAAAGACTGTCTTAAAGGCAGCGCTCTTGCTTCATGATAGACTTAAATAGCAGGAATTCCCTATGCTATTTTTAAAAAATAGAACTTCTAGAAGGTATTTTATCTCTATAACTGCAGAGGAATATAAGTTAATCATTAATGTAAAAACTCACATTAAATGTAGAAAATATGATGATGAAGTATAAGCCACTTCGCTGATGCAGAATTCCGTGGCATCTTCTGACCATTTATAGAAAAATACACTTGATCATTTTGACTTGAATGAGCTACTTCAAGAATTTCCAAGAAAGCAAAAAGAAGTGCTATGGCAGAGACTGACACAGCTATTGACAGAGAGCCTGATGGAGAACCCTGTGGAAACATGGTACGGGAGTGGAGATGATAAAGGTGATGATGACATGGAAGTTGAGATAGTTCCAGAAATGGTAAGAATCTTGTAAATTGAAAATATGATGAGTGTGTCATGTTTTTTGGGACATAAAATGGAATATTGCCATAACATCTGAAAACATGCAAGGGTTATCAAATAAGATCAGCTCCAAATATCACCTTCCTGCTCATTTTTTAAATGACTTAATTTATGCCACAGTTAAGCTGAACTTATGATTCTATACTGTAATAGACTAGATCTGCTGATAATTTTAATTATGAAAGATTTGACTTAGTTTTCTTGGTAGAGTTGAATGGGCTTTTTCTATGTCTTATTTCAATAAACAGATGTTAATATTGCAGATGTTAATTTTAAGTAGCTGGAATATAGTATAAGAAATTCACTACCTGATTTGTGATATCATTTTATTTAATTAAGATCATGAAATCTATATTTGACTGCACCTTCCACAAATTTAGAATATATAGATTTTTTCTGACTCAGACCCTTATATATTGCCTTCTGTGTTGTAGTCTATGTAGCCTTGAGAATATTTGGAAAAGGTTATTTAATTTTAGGGGAAGAAAAGAAATGCAGTGGGAAAATCATTAGAGAAACCTAGAGGCTTCTAGAAAAATTAGTCATCCATTCAGAGACCTGTAGAATCACACACTTAGAGTGAAAGTCACCAGATGTACAGATCTCTGAGTTACACAAGACCCTGCTGGTTAGGGGCTTGTCAGCTCTGAGATGGATATGTGTTTGAGTGGGTTTGTTGCAGATGAGGACTTTAGTGCAGGAATGGATGCACATATACAGTCACAAAGTTATCTACTAGCTGGAGCTGAAAGCCCTTTTCAAACATTTTGAAAATATGTACTTTAAAAATCTTATTTGATAGGTTTTGGGTGCCAGTATGTGCCTTCTTCAAAATGGAAGCATAATAACAATTCAGCTTTGCTCGCTGTTGCTAAGGTTTATTTCTTGTTTGAATTAATTTCTGAGTTCAAAACAAACTGCAGAAGTGTTTCCACAGCATTGCTTTCTTTCAGAAACAAACTGTATCAGTGATCCAAGGAGTGGTAGCTGTCGTTACTGCTTCCATACCTGCAGTGGATGAAAATACGAACTACAAAGCTCTTGTAGAATGCGTTTTTATACTAAACGGTGAGTACTTCTCTGTACCGTACAGAGTGCGGCATATTAGAGGCTATTTGATCTGACTGAAATCCAGCTGGCCTGTGAAACAAAATTCACAGGAGAAAAGTTGGTACTGGTTTGATCTCATATCTATGAGACAAAATTAAGGGAGTATTTACCTAAAAATTAGCTGCACAATTTAGAAGTTGGAATATAAATAGTTTTCTTTCTCCCAGCTGTTCATCCAGTGGAAGATAGCTTCGATTATCCTTTGACTTATATTACTTTTAAGGGAAACTCAATATTCCGTTGTCACTGATCCCAAAACTTGGGCCAAACCTTAGAGTTGCCAAGTGAACATAAGCCATGAGGGTGTGTAAATGTGGCAGGAGCTAGCTGACACTGTGAGGTGTAGTTAGTGTGCAAACAGACTGCTGTTTTACAGGAATGACTTAGTTCATTGCAGTAAATAATCATTTCATTATTCTTGTAGGTATTCTTCCTCCATTACCTGCATCTGAAAAAATCCTGCGTGACACCATCCAATGCATGTGTCAAATGTGGTGGGAGAAGGGACTGGAAGGGAAGGAGCAGCTGGGGAAGACTCTGTTTATCATTCTGCTGAGAAAAAGCCTGAATAAAGCTGCTACGGTATGCTGAGGCTATATTGACTTTCAGGTTATTATTGAATATTTCAAGAAATAAAACACTGCCTTCTCTAGAACAAATTTAAAAGATTATTAGCATCAGTTTCACAAGTGAACGGTTTTGGGTTTTTTTTGCATTCCTTTTCATCTTTTGTCCAGTCCAATGACCAAGGCTTTTATTCTAATTAACTCTTTCCTTTAACTCAGATTTTAGTTAATGTTCAGCTAAGCATAGAGACAGCTTTTTTGGAAATCATCTTCTCTTGCTCTTTATCTTTTTACAAATAATTTTTCTTTCGTTTTACAAAATGTGTGAGTTACTTGGAATATTGTGATACATATCTTTTGCACTATCCCGATGGATGTATCCTTATTTCTTTCCTCTGTTTTTCCCTGTTAACTGCATGCATTGTATAAAGTTTAAAAAGTGGAATGATGTGTTTTTAACATATTTTGCATGGAATGGCAACTTTTGTTCTGTACTTGAGCATGTCTTCATTTTTTGGAAGTTAGAATTTCTGCAGTTGCATATATTTTTTCCCAGTATTGTGATGAAATGAATGCTCATAATTTCACAATCCATAGCAATGCATTTCAGGTTCATTATTTAAAATCCTTTCAATGCTGCTTTGCATTAAAGCTATGCTTACTTCACTCTAATGTGGGCTTCTTGTTTCCTGTTAGGGTGCAGATATAGTTCGTGTATGGAATCTACATCAGGCATTACTTTGTTTTGATTATGATTCCGATGAGAGTAATGAAGTCAAAGACTTGTTGCTTCAGTGTTTTATGAGTGTAAAACACATTAAGAAAGAAGAGGTAAGCCAGCTTTTATCTTACTTGGTTTTGTGCCAGTGAGCTTTGGTTACTTTTCATAGTTTTGCAGTTTGTCTCTTTTACTGTATAGTTGGTAGCAACATGAGACAAATCAGCTCTGACTCCAGGCTAGAAATGGTTGATACTCTGTTTCATTTGGAAAACTTGTTTCTATTCCAGACTAAAGTGTGAAAGTTTATGTCTAAATCTTCAGTCCAGTTCTTTTATTGTGAGGCAATGAGAATCAAGTGCTTTGCTTCCAGTGCATTTCCCTCAATACTTAAAATCATTCCCTGGTGTAATTCTTTTCTTTTATAGCAGTTTTTCTTTTATTGAAAACAAGTAACTGTAGCAAAATAATTTTCCTGCTAAATGACTCCATCCAGAAGATTGTGCTGCCATATTCTGTTTTAAAAGTAGCATAAAAAGTACCCAACTTTACAGAAAAATGAGAATTACTTTATTTAACTACATACATTTCTCTCAGTGAACAGTTGCTGTTTTGTTGTTTTTAGGTTGTGCCTGTGCACCAGAATAGTGGTGTCCAAGCCTTTTTTCTGGTTAGGTGACCGGACCACCCGACTTCATCTCTGTGTTTGAAAAGACAGGTGTCTGCTAAGGAAGGCAGGAGCCTTTCTTGATATGGAAAATGTAAACTCTTTCTGAATTATTAAAATTTTGAAATTAAAGGGTTTTTAGGCAAAGATATGGGAGTAGGAATAAGAGAGTTTTGTTAGTATATATAAATAAAGAAACCCTATAACTTAATAGGAAAATTAAAATAAAATGCAGTAGTAAAAAAGCACTCATAGAGTTATATTATAACTTGACACTGGTTGGTCAGGGTGCTGGTAGCAGTCTGATGGTGGTTGTAGTTTTCCTGGAGTGACAGTCTTGGTTCTGTTGAAGCAGTGATCCTATGGAAGGATGTAGTTTTTTTTCCTGAAGGTCTAGTGGTGATGTAGAATGGTCTGGTTTTCTTTTGGGAATTTAGTGGGAAAAGGTTGACTATGGTGTTCTAAGTCTCAGATTTTCTCTAGCTAGGAGTGCTTGGCTCCTCCCCCTTGGTGGAGCATCTCTCAGTGGGATGATGTAATTTTATCAGTCATTCAGTGGGACTCAATTAATAGAAGATATCCCCCTGGAGGGAGGATGAATCTTGGAAGAGATAAAGAACACTGCCACACCTGGTTTTAACCAATGGTAATAGCATACATACTTTTGGTTACGTTTTGCATTTGCAGCCTAACACATTCTGAAATTCTAACTCCTACTTGCATCTGTAAAATATATATATTCCTATTACTGTGGGATATATGAACTTTTGTCATAAAATAAGTCCTGAGATTGCTGCATGATTGTGGCAGTATAAGGATATGGCATTTTAAAAATGGAGATAGCAAAGGAGTTAGGTGAAATGCTTGATATAGAGCATGCTTTGGATACCTGCCACAAAGTTAGTGGGGTTTTTGTTACTTACATATCATATTTTAAGCTATCTTAGTTTTGACTAAAATTATGATGTACTAAGGCAATATGAGAGGTAGGAATGGAAAAAGAGAAAATGTGGGTGGAAAGAGGAAAGACAGGCAAGACTTTATTGACAGAGTTTACAATTAATTTTGTGTCCTTGGTGTTTTAAGCCATTTTTTGTCATCTGGAAAAAGTGTGTACTTGTGTGTGTTCTTTGTCACAGTAAGTAATATGTATTAGCTATATTTGATTCTATATGTTTTTGTTTTTCTGTTATATTTGAATCCTCTGTATTGTTTTAATATTTCATCTTCATATAGGCACAGCAAATAATTGGTAATTATATATGTAAAATACAACTGCTATCTAGGCTTCAGAAACTAGCTTTTTTTCTTCTGTGTTGTGTGAGACTTTTAGTATAATGTGTTAATACTACACAGCTTTTCTAAAGGAAGTTTGCACCGTGAATCATGGAATGAAACATCCTTCAGTATAAAAATTGAGGTTTTGTTGTTTTTTTTAATATGAGGGGGAAAAAAGCAGTGGTAATCAGACTTGGTAATGAGCATTTTTCCTGGCATATTAGAACTCATCCACTTTGCTCCATGAGAATGTGCAAATTTGGCCACACTTTGCACATTTGTTTCTCTGCCCAAGATTTTTCTCTTTGCTCTCCCAGGGATTTCTGGTTCTTGATACTTTGTCACTTTTGCATTTTCATAGGTCTGTCTCTTTCTAGGTAGCTACAGGGAGCATCTAACTGCACTCTGCTCTGTCATCTGATCATTAGTGGTTTCAATGCTTAATTCTGGATTCTTCACTCTCTGGCTGGAAAGCAGCAGCTCCTGGCTGTAGCCTGAGGGCTCAGCCTTGGTCAGTGGTGGGTCTGCCTTGGAGCCTGCTGGCATTGGCTCTATCGACATGGGGAAAGCTTCTGGCAGCTTCTCACAGAAACCACCTCTGCAGGCCTCCACTACCAAAACCTTGCCATGGCAGCCCAATACACAAATCACTTTACATCTTGGAGGATAACTGTTCAAAATAAAAGGAGAACCATAACCCATTCTGGAAAGATCCCAGGACAGGGTTCAGTTAAATTGTCTGAAATTAATTTAGACATCTGTGAAGGAGCATAATCAGTACAAGTCCTGGGAAGGATTTGATTGCTTAAGTGAATGACCCATGCTACATTTAATGACCTGAGTTGCCTCAGACATCCACATGGGGCTGGCACATAATACATAGATCTCTGCTTTCTGGAAAACCATTTGGGCATGTAAAATTGCTGTGTTTAGGTTGTGCTATATTAACCCTTGTCAGCAGAGTCAACAGAGCAATTCAGCTCCATAAAAGAGTAACTGAACAACTGATCACATGAATCACTGTTCAAACAATTAACGTTTCAGAGACTTAAACATCCAAATTCACATGTCTCAGTTTGTGAGCAGAAATCCAGCTTCACTACATGAACTTGCAGTACTTACCCAGAATGGTAACGAATTTGGGTTTTCCTAGCCCTGCAGAAAGGAGATTCAAAGTGTTCAAAGCATTTTCCTGTTGCTATGAAGCCATTGTACTTCAGTTGCAAGTCCTTTTGTTTGGGGTTTGTGTGCTGTGGGAGTTCAGTTGCACTGATAATACACTTCTTGTGTGCTCTCTAATTTCCCTTCCTGGCTCATTTCACTAGTGATAGATTTCCTGTAGCATCAAGAAACCAACCAATGCTCCTCCAGTATCTCTGCTGGACATTTTTTTTGCATCCGGTATTGCTTCTAAAATGCTCGTAGTAATACCAGATATCAACATGGTGTATGAATTGCTTTGAGATGAAACTGAGCTTTTGTATATCAGGCCTGATACTCCCTTTAATGCCTGCAGACTTGTCCTACAGTTCCTAAGAAGAGTAATTCTAGTTTTTATAGAGTACGTGTCTCAGAGCGCAGCACCATAGCAGCTTAAGCTGCTATGACTCCAGGTTGCAGTGATCCTGTGTTGCCATGGGCTAGCGTTCCTCTTCCTTTCCACAATGTAATGTTCAAGCAGCAATATCATGGGTTGATTGAAGGAGGTAGCTCTTTTCTTCTAGTAAGATTATTTTTAAAACAGATTAACTGTCTGGAATGGTTCATCATTTGCAAGACTGAAGGAAGGGAAAGGTCAGGAATGCAGTGTATCAGTTCTAAATCAGATTAAACCAATAGAGAAGTGCACATTTATACCTCATTGCAAGATCAGGGAGTTCAGTGTTTCTGTCTTCTCAAGCTGTGCTATTCAACACAATAATATTTCTCGAAGGCTTATTATCAGGCTGCATTAGTGGAGTAATCCTCTGAATTTATATCTCTGTGATTTAGGAAAACATTCTTGTTCATATGTGGTTTCCAGTCAAACAGCTGCAGAGCCTGGAGAGCATGCTATTATGTTTTAGAGGTGGGTCTGTTGTACTCTTTCCTTGCTAACCTTCTCTGTGTGTATGGAACAAAGTCAGGTGCTCTGTGTCCACAAGCACAGCAGTACCAGACACCCAACACTCTGATACTGCATTAATCCCAAAGATGACAAGTTCACTGTCTTATTCACCTATCACCAGGTTACCTCTCACAATAATGAGAATGTTGATACCAGTAATTATTTCAGATCCATCAATCACAAGCAGCAGATTAATTTAGAGACACTTATCATAATATTCAGGAGCAGGCTCAATCTTTTGAAACCTAAGGCTAAAAAGAAATGGTTGAAAGCTATATTTTTTCTTTTCATAATCTGTCTTGCTGCTGAGGTTGTAGAAGATGAGATGAGCTTGAATTTGTCCTCATCCTTGCTCTGTTGAGTAAAGAACTGTAGGTTGAAACTCCCTTGATCTTTTGTTTTGTCAAGGATACTGATGTGTGACATGCCAAGTGGGACTAGACTATATTTATATTAGGCCACCAAAGCTGGAGATAGAGACAACTGTCATTGACAACAGGAAGGATTCCATCAGACCTGTAGACAAGAATCTTGATATTGTATTTAGCCTTTAGGTCTTGATTTTTATGAGCTACTGAGTTGCTCCTTTACCCAAAGGCATTTCAGCTATCAATTGCACTACAGGGCAGTTTCTCACTATGTGCTTCCATCTCCCACCCCTACTCTGTGATATTACCACTCCAAGTGTGACTGGCATTCTATTTTCTCGGTTTGGTCTCAGATGTGAACACAACTTTTGGTCCAGCTCTCAGTGGAAGTACCTCTGAACCTCTGCTGTTTGTTCAGTGACCCCTTTGCACTTCTGCAAATGTGCTCTTTACTATTGCACTTCCTTCATTAATATTCCTAATTTATTTTTGGCTAGAAAGCTGACAGATACAAAGGACCCTTACAACTGGCTGACTCACCCTTATGTGTGATCAGACATTTTGAAGTCTTACCTTCATCTGTAAGCTAAGTCAGAGTGTGGCTGCCTATACAGATATTGTATAAGGCTCCAATTCCTTGGGCAGATCTTGCTAATACTGGAAATGCATTTGTTTATTTCCTTCATCCACAGCCTTCCACTGCCTTTTATTGCAAAATTCTATTGCTCATCAGATTTGTCATCATTGTTCCTGACTTGTTAAAATGGAAGAAAACTAATTTGGGAAGAATAGTTTCTGTTTTCATGAATGAAAACAGCTCCAGTAGGTTTGCAATATTACCTTTCATGTGGCAAGAGGAAAGGAATTTGCTGATCAGAACATTTAATTTCCTCAGTGGCCCAGCTGTTCTTTGTGACCATGTTAGAAATGCTTCTGTGTCCAGTGCTGCTGGAGTTGTTGTGGTGTTTTATTTATGCCTTCACCATTATTCCAGTGTAATCCCGGGATGATATTGCACTTGGCAGAGCTCAGTGATCCAGCCTTGATGTGGGTGCTGATTGCACAGTCTGTTATTGTTCTGGAATGCAGCTTGAAGGCACACCAAAGCAGAAAGGACATTGAAAGAGAGAATGCAGATATGTGATCCATGTGTTCATTTGTCCTGTGTTTTATCTACAGTATGAATAAAAGCAGTGCTTGAATTCTGTTAAATAATTAAGAATCTTGAATAGTTTTTCCATTTCACCATTTTTCATTTCATGCATTTAAAATTAAAGGTATAATTTCCTTTACTGATTTTTGAGATAGCTTTTAAATTGGCTATTCTTCTGAACTTTGAGTTCCCTTTGTTTTTTCCTCTTTTCCCCTCCCCACAGGGAAGAAGACTCTTGAGTTTTTTGTTCAGCTGGAATGTAAACTTCATTAAAATGATACATGGAACCGTTAAAAATCAATTACAGTTCTTTCCAAGGTATGCATCCCAGTTAAAGTACTTAATTAGTAAGAGCTTGTCTAAAATCTTGTTTGTCTCACTCTAAAAATATATTGTATATTGAAAAAAAATATATCAGTATTCAGAAACCCACAAATCTTCTGAAGAGAACTGCTATATTGTTTCAGAAACTTCATTTAACAGTAGCTCTGACATGCCTGGGTGTACAGTTATAGGAGTAGTAAATGTTTATTTGCCATTAGCTAAAGCAAATGACTTTGATAAAAACTGGACTGCATTATTTGCAGTGCTTGTGTGAGGGTTGCAGGTCCATTTCTCCTTTTTGTGAGGTATTTCTATTTTTTCCTACAAACAATCTCTAATTTTATTTTCTAGGTTTCTATATAAGACATTCTAATAAGAAGTGACTTACAGGGTAAATCATAGTCTGAGAACTTAGCTGATGGATGAAAATTATGGAGATTTTTTTTCTTTGATTATTCAGTGAAATGTTGCAGAAGTAATTCTATATATTAAAATCAGAGGCTTTCTAATGCTTTCAGGTAGAATACGGTATTCCTGTACATGTCTGTAAAGAATTTAAGGCATTCTTCATTACATAATTGGTAAAGTATCCCTGAATGTTTTGTCTCTCCCACCATGAGAGGTTTTTCAAGTATCATGTAATAGTGCTTAGATTCATTAAGAGTTAATATGGTACTTAAGGTATAGACTTGAAAAGAGAATTTCTTCTTCTAAAAACCAATTTGATGCACAGAATTAAGATCCATATTGGTTTTTATACAAAACTTAATGTTTCGTCTTTATGAACTGTACATAGATATGTTATGCTTTCTTGACAGTGTTTCCTATATGTTAATACAGATCCTTAATGGAATACATTTCAGAAGTTTACTTCAGGGCTTGGAAGAAGGTGTCAAGAGAATTCATAGAGGTAACACTGTGCTTGAAATTTCATTTGGATAGTTTTGAATTTCAAGGTAGGAAAGACTCATGACTTTCCACCTCAGAGAGGTTCCATTAATAAGCCTTAAAGAATTATTTCCCTAAGGAAAGAGCCTCTTCAGCATTGTCAAGTAACTATATGTCATGCTTTGAATGTTTTCCCACTGAGATCAGCTTGGCTGCAGTTAAACACCTTTAATTCTGTTGCTGAAGTATTGCTTCACACAAATATCCATATACACAATGTTTTTCATAAACATATCCGTTAGCTGAATTACTGAAGCTTTTATTCAGTATGTGCAAGTCTGTATAGTTGATAGCTCAAGTAGTTATCTAGTTTTTGTGGATTTCCATGGAAATTATTAATGGCATAATTACAGATCACAACAATGCTAGAACAAAATTTCAGATACTAAAATATTCTTATTTACCCTGCTTTTATCTTCTGACAATTGGATTAATTGTATATTCTGAAATTTTGAAAATTAGTTGAGGCATACTGAGGCCCCCAGAATGGAAAAATTTGGGCCAAGCAGAAGCCAAGTAAGAAATAATAGCAGATAGTATTTTCAGTTGCTTGTTTTAGGGAAAAATATAGTTGCTGCACAGCTACAGTACTTATTGTTTTATTGTATTAACAGGAGCATGTTTGTGTTTTTACTGTAGGTACTTGAATATAACTGCATTCAGGATTTCATGCATCATGGAATTCATCTTCCCAGAAGTTCTTCTGTTCATTCTAAAGTTAGAGAGGTAAGTTCCAGGAAAGCATGACATTAACTGTAGCATCAAAATGAAACCAATTGCTATGAAGTGGAAAATTTCCATTTCATACTAAAATACAATACCAGGTGTGGCTGGAATGGAAATACTTTGCTTTATAGCAGCCTGTATGGGGTTGTGTTTGGGGTATGCTGGTGGCACAGCAATGTTCTGGCTGCTGCTGAGCAGTGCCTGTGTGGTCTCAAGCCTTTCTCCTCCCCACGTTTTCCCTTGGGAGTGGGCCGGGCATGAGCAAGAGCTTGGGAGGTCAGAGCAGCAGAGACAGCTGACCCAAACTGACCAGAAGGATATTGCATGCCATACAACCATCATTCCCTCAGCAAACTGAGAGAAAGTGGGGTCTGGGGAGGCAGCCACTGCTGGGAGCCTGGCTGAGTATTGGTCTGCTTGTGGCAGGTGGTGAGTGGTTTCATTTGCATTACTCTCTTGGGGATTATTTTAGTCCTCTTGGTTTCATTTATTAAACTGTCCCTATCTTGACCCATGAACTTTCAAATCTTCTTCTTCCCCATTGAGCAAAGAGCGTGTGTGCTTAGCTGGTGACTAGGGCCAACCCACCACAAATGCTTAAAAAATAGCATATTCTGAGAAACAGTGCTAGAAATAATTTTAGGAGGGACCTGTTTATAGTTTTGCACTAGATTTGTCTTTGCTGCTCAATAGTAGAAATAGAAGGGGATTTTCCAGAGTGCCAGAAATAATTTTTGCTGTCTGTTGTCTAAGCTTTATTTACCTATAGAATTGACCTTTCCATAGATGATCACAGAGACGAAAAATCATAACCTTCTTGAGGCAAACTTAGTAGATGGGTCTGAAATGAAACTTGGCTTTTGTCATTTTTTTATATGTGATGGGATTTATGTATGTTCATAGGGACAAGCTTTGATTCTAGTTGTCTGTCTGTGGCATTAAGTCATGAGCAGAACATTTGAGGCAGAATGAGAACTGCACAAGGCTTTTTAAAAATATTTGTATTTGATCAATGCCCTTTCCCCTCCCATGCTTTCCTCCAAATACCCAGACTCTAGAGTGTGTACTGTGCAATATACAGCTCAACATACCAGTGTACAATACTACAGTGGATTTTTTGTTTGTTTTGGTTTGTGTTTCCTGGGGTTGGTTTTTTAGGGGGTTTGTTCTGTTTTGTTTTCTCATAGCTATAGAATTTCCTTGTTGTGTGATTCCTGATCGATGGAACAGGCTTTTGACAGGACATTTCATGTTTTTCAGACTCTGAGGCTTATGATCTTGAAAGAGGACAGTGAATAAATATGTCTTTGGGCTGCAATTGGAGTAGGTCTTGGAATAAATTTGAACTGACCACTAGAGGGTCAGCTTCTTTTCAAATTTTGTGTAATCTTGTATTCCGTTTTCCAAGATCTTCAGGGAATTATCAGTGCTGTATTGATCAAGGCCAGAAATGTTCAGAGGATGATCTTGTCTCATTTTTTGATTAATTACCAACCTTAGAACACAGCTGAAACTGCTCAGTGTTTCAAGTGGAGGAATTCTTCATATCAAGTTTCATGATGTCCTTTCACATATTCTGCTCTGGTCTTCCACTTTCTCTTCCTTTTCTGCATGATTCACATACAAAAATAACAGAATTTTTAGCTAATTAAGCACAGTTTTGAGTCCCAAGGAGTGCTGATAGTTGCTTTTCATCAATGCATAAAAAATGTATTAGGTTTGTGCATGTGTATTTGGATAACTCCACTTACCAGATAAGTTCCTTTGTTCTTAACAGAGAAAAGGCTTCTTTATCTGTAGTTTTTAATTTCATGGTTTCTAAGTATTTCTGCCAGTTACTTTAAAAATAATTTTTTACAGTAACAAAAAGGAGGTGTTGCTGTGAAATTCTCTAGCCATATTTTTTCTTAGTTGTAGATCTTTATATAAACTTACTGACTCTGTAAAGTTATAAAATATTATATTTATTAGATGGTTTTAATTTTACTATTATTGAGACTTTCTAATAAGATAGAGGGTCAACTAAAATGTTTGGTTTTCTCATATCCATAGTATGATATCTCTGGTCTTACTTAATTATGAAATAAGACACCCCCCTACCACTTCCTGAATGTAGAATGTTAAGATGGCTTTGGGACCTGTTTTATTTGTTTTTCCTTAGATGCTGAGTTATTTTCATAAACAAAGTAAAGTTCGTCAAGGAGTCGAAGAGATGCTTTATAGATTGTATCAGCCCATCCTCTGGAGAGCACTGAAGGTAATTACCCTTTTCAGAAAATACAACTGTCTTTCTCCAACTATTAAGTTTTGGGTCCTTTCCATGCCTTCTGTTTTTATTATTTGCTTTTAAAATTAAATGGCCACAAAAACCAAAATGAGTGTTTAACATCACAGATGTAGCTGAGTACCTTTGCAAGTTGTAATTAGGCATAGCATGTACAATAATATTCTGGTTTGTTAATATAATTTATTTGTAAAATTCACTTTTGTTTACAGGTACATGAGTGCTTTCCAGGATTGCAGCTGGTATTCTCATCCTCTCAGCCTGAAAATTCTGTGTAATCTTGTGTTATCTTTCCCAAGATCTCTAGGGAATTATCAGTGTTTTATTGATCAAAAATATTGATCAAAGCCAGAAATGTTCAGAGGATGGTTTAGTGTCACCTGTTGATTAATTACCAGCCTCAGAATACAGCACAATGAATTTATTAGAGTATTCATTTAGGAAACTTTTATTCTAGTTGGATTGTATGGACAGACATTCATAGTACACTCATGAGCACTCAGAATGAAATTTCTTACTTGTAGTTCTTTCATGGTGTGTGGATGTCCTTCTGTGGATTACATGCATGGACTAAAGGTGACCCACTGCAGTTTGTCTGCTCAGTTACACTCTGTGATTAAGAGGAGCTAAGCTTCATTGTTTGGTGACAGCTTTTATTTTGTCTGAAGTTATGAAATCCCTGTTTGTGAGGGTGTTCACATACAGCCAAGTTTACATAAGCATTCACAATTTTATTTACTGGTTGGTCATAAGCATCTTCTCTAGACATGAGAAAAGTGTTTGTAATTCTCAAAGTTGAAATTATTTACTATTAACTTCCAAAGTTGTTTACAGTGGATTTTATGAGTTACAGGAAGGAGTTGAGAGCTTGTTTGGTTTCAACAGAACCCTGTGGTAGAGGAGGGAATATGAACAGAATCCTTGCTAGCCCAGTATCTTGTTTGGCCTTACATTAAAGGTTAGATCCCATCCTTTTAGAATTAATATAAACAATGAATCTTCTGGATGAAACATTTATATACTAGTGCCAGAGAATGATAGGTACAAAGCATGGCTTCCTTTAATTTCTACATTTCTGTCTCTAAAAATAAGAGGGGTTTTAACTGTTTTTTGGTAAGTTAACAAAATACAGTATTCCATTCTTAAGGGAGGTGCTGCCTGTCAGTGGAGGGTCATAGTCACTTTCCAAAGCTCAGGACTCAAATGTAAGACTAGACTACTTTTTGGAGGAAGATTCTGTCATGAATCTTCCTCCAAAACCTTATGAAATCTGCATACAATTATTTGGAGAAATGTAACTGAAGGTGTGTCATGTGGGAAAAAAGGGTTAATGGTTGATTTGCAGCAAGACAGCAGGAGAATTGCTGATTCAAGAAATGATTTAACAGATGCTATTCATAATTTTCACTAATGGTTCCATTGCTAGAACAAACCATACAGTACTGCATGAAGTATTTGGCTGTCGCTGTGAGTCAGAAACACCAGTAGTTTAAAATACAGAACTAAGAAGGGAAGTTTATAACTGTTCTTACTGTTATGGATTCTACTCCAAAGCTTGTAATGTCAGTTTAATTTTAGATAACCAGTTTGATGCTCCTATTTTAGCCAAATCCCTAATTTAATATAGTGAAGAACAAATTCTGTTCTAGAGCACTGGTTATGAAAAAGAAAGGATACACAAGGCCTGTTTATTCCTCCTTCATACAGAAAGCAAAAATATTTCAATTGTAAGAATACAATGAATTCCAGAATTGTTGATGCTGATACTACTTGATTTAATTCCTGAAATCTTTAAACTGAGAATGCACATTTGTAATTCAGTTCTCTGTTTTTCTTCAGTTGCTTGTTTGGCAAGTACTTAGATTGAACAAGCTTCTGTTGGGGCTTTTACCAACACATATTTTATGTTACTTTATGTAACTACGTTTTTAATATAAGCCCATATGTAACTGCTTCATCTTTTTTTCATGTTCTTGTTATGAAAAACAAGTGTCATGCAAACATAAAAAAGATGTGCAGTGATTGGTTGTTAGTATGAGAAGATATTTAGATATAAAAATAAGGATATTTAGTGTGAGGTAAGTAGTGATTAAGCTATTTCTTATCAAGCTGAAAAAGTCAAGAACCGCTCCTCCAGGAATTCAAGCCATTGAAGGAAGTGACTCCTTTGAAGTATTTGGTTGTCTTTTTAAATTTTTTTTTTAACATCCCATGCATTTAAACTAACATGTCCTGGGGAAGTAGTGTTTTAAATAATTGGAAGTGAATTTCAGAACCTGTAAGACCAGATAAAATGTAAAAGAAAGCTATGAAAATTAACTGAAGAAAAAAATTAAAATATTGTTTGAAAAGGTTCTGAAAGTTCCTAAGAATTGTACAAGCATAATGGTAAAGAAATATTCGTCATTTAAATAACTGCAGGCTCTGGCATGGAAAAGTCAGTTTGGATTAAAAAAGGCCATGAATTTAAAGTCTTAGGTTCTGCCTCTGTGAAGACATTGTACAAGCCTGAGTATGCAAATACATTTGGGATAAATTCCAGTTAATTAAAGGCAGTAATTTGAACTGTGGGTACTCAGTTCAGAATTAAAAGTGAGCTTGATGGAATTCAGTGTAATGCACTTTAAAAGTTTATGGAAATTAACTTTCTGCAATGGCTGTGGTAGACAAGGTCTAGGTTATTGCACAAAAACACATTTTAATAAATTTTCACATGCAATGTTAGTGCAGAAGAGCTATTTCACCCTGAATTCACATATTATCTTGTTATGTGTTAAATATAGAAAGCTCAGAGTTAAAGGATTTTCTACAACTTTTTAGGATCATTAAGAATTACAGTCTTTTCACCTTTAAATTGTTTGCATTATCCATAATAAATAAAGGACAATACAAGTCCCTAATTAAAGAATGTATGTATGTGCTTTATTTGCTTTTGTAGTATTCAATTTAGAATTCCTAGTGATTGTGTTGACTTGAAGAATTTGGAATATTATGGTTCTACTCCACCATATCAGGATTGATCAAGAAGAGAAACCCGAAACAGTTTGTCAATGAAGTAATTGTTACTCATTTCTTTTGTGTTTTTCTGGTTTTATTTGTCATTAGTTTATTTAAGTCTAAACATGGTTATTGCCATGTTTCTTTTCCCTGCCTTTGATCTCAATGTGCTTTATGACAAGGAAAGAAGAAAATTAGATTATTAGAATAGTCAAGAATTTCCCTAAACTCTCTTGTCTTGCTGCTAAAATTATGCCTATGTTGCTTGTTATATTGAGAGATTTTATATTTTTTATTGGACCCAAAAATATGGACAAAATTCTTCCTTCTCTTTCCAACAGAAGTCATCAGCGGCTCATTATCACTACAGGCTACTTAATCACTGCTATCTTTGATAAATAAAATGCAGTTTGGTGGTTAGATTTCAGCTTTGTCCTTGAGATGCCTTGAATTTTTTCATGGTTTCATTGCCTGCTCTCTTTTTCTGTCCTTTAAGAGTCCACAGGATCAATTATCTGTCACTGAATAAGTGGCTAAATATGCACCTTTTTCCTTTTCTGCATTTGTGGATCTACAACCACTAAAATATATGGTGGAGTGCACTGAAAATTGTTAAATACGGTAAAATGTTGTGAGGCTTCCCATAGGTTTTTCATGAGCTGCCTGGAGCTCAGAACACGGTCCTAATACTTATGTGCAGAGATGCAGAACTGAGTATGTTTTTGCTGGATAAGTTACTCTCCAAGCTTTCTGGTACCTAGTTACTAAATTTTACTATTTACTCTTTTCTTGAAGAAATAAGCTTGAGCTTTCAATTAAATCACCTGTCTCTTGACAAGCAAGTTCATTAATCCAGTCTGATTGAATTTAAGAGTCTTCTGTCCTGAGGAGGAGCTTTTAGGTCACCAAGAGAAATCCCAACTGCTTTTAATTTATTCAGCATTACAGAAAGCAGAAGGGCTCTGACTGTGATTCCTCAGGGTCATTGAAGCTGATATGCTTTGAAAGCTGATTGTGATAATAACTCAGGTTTTATTGAATGGGCCAGAAATATAAGATAAAACATTAAAACTCATGTGACTTTAAGTTCTTCTGTCCATTTCTAAATTCATCTCTTCCATCCACTTAATTAAAAACACTTGTATCCTGTCAAATACTGTTCTCCAAACATTTTGACACCTTTGGATATTAACAATTGGTCCTTATGGAAAAAATATCTTTTCCTCCATTGTAACAGGCCAGAAACTCAGAAGTTCGAGCAAATGCAGCATTTTTGTTTGTCGATGCTTTCCCTATTCGTGATCCCAGTTTTACTGCTGAAGAGATGGACAGTGAAATTCAGAAACAGTTTGAAGAACTTTTTGTAAGTTGTAATAAAACTGAAATGTTAAAAATGAAACTTTTATCAGAGCTAACTAATAAAAAAAATTGCTGATGCAATTAAAATTTATTGAATTTCTGGTTTATTGTAAGGAAGTAGAGGTCTGTGGTCCAGAAAATACAGAGTTAACTAATATTTTAAATTTCAATACTGTGCTTTCTGCAGATGCTATACACCACTTTAAATTCTAAAAAGGAAATATTTTGGTTTGTTATTCATTGATCTGTGAATGAGACATGCCTTTGAAAGATTAAATGCATGAATAATGATCTTGGTCCTTGCTTAACCTGGGACTGGGGCGGAGAGCTTCACAGTTACTATGGAAGTACTCAATGAAAGTTCAGTGCTGTATTACTAACTACCTCTTAAATTAAGTATAATGGAGAGAACCTAAAAATCTCCTTACCAGTCCAGATGGGTGAAAATGAATGTAGTATTTTTCTTAAGAAAATGTTTGGGGATTCCTGAGTAAACATCAGATAATGGAATGAATTTCAAAGTTTTTATGTTGTTCCATAGGAACAGTGATCAATGTAGACTCATAGAAATAGAAGTCCAAATATTCTTAATTAAGTCACAAGTGTCAGACTTTTTTTATTTTAAAAAAAAGTCCAATAAAAAAATTGGCCAAAAACTTTGGCATTAACTTTGCTTCTGATTTAAATTTCCTTGTTTTCTTCACAGTAAAGTGCCTTGAAGGTCTATTAAAATTACGGTTCTTTTATTGTATGACAATTTTCATAATTAAAAGGTAATTGAATGCATTTTGTTTATGGTAGGCTCAGGTCAAACAGCAGTAGAGCTACAATAATCCATATGCTCACAGTATTATTCTTCTGTTTGTTTTAGAGTCTCTTAGAAGATCCTCATCCAATTGTCCGCTCTGCAGGGATACTTGGAGTTACTCAGATCGTATCCAAATACTGGGAGATGATTCCTCCAACAATTCTTGCTGATCTTTTAAAAAAGATAACTGGAGAGCTGTCATGTGATGTAACATCTGCTGATGTTCGATGCTCTGTTTTTAAAGTAAATGTTTTTTATCATGATTGTCATTTTTCTATTTTACTTGATGTATAGGTTTCTAGTATAGGCTACTTTAAATCAAGGAAATTACTTGTTTTTCAAAATGTATTAGGCAATAGAATTCCTAATGCATGGAGATTTTGCACATTTCTTAAAAGCCACATGTCTTATAAAATAGTAACTGATTTGCTTTCTGACTCTAAGGTTCTTCAGTTTCAGTTGTATGCATGCTGTTTGAACCTGATCACTTATTTTTTTTAGCTATTAGAAATGATGCTTAGACTTGAAAATATATGTTCTTACATCACTGGCTTTAATGCATCCCAAGGCATGCACAATTAGGATTTTGTACCCCACTTTGTGTGTCTGAGGTTTGGATGGATATAATTCCACAGTCTGTCTGGTGATGCCTCCTCCCATGTACGGCTCACTATGTTAGAAATAGTTCATCTACATCTTTCTGGCATGTGAGAAATAACTGATAGCTTGGACAGAAAAATGAACTCCCTAAGCAGCATTTTCACTTGAAGATTCTGTGTCAGTTGAGACTTAAACTGAAGCTGTTGTCCTGTTAATCCTCACTTTCTCCACTACTGCTTCATGGAGGAGCTATCTTGGATAAGTAGAAAGTGCTGATTTAAAATGAATTGGAACAAAGAAATATATTTTTAATTTGAAATCAGCTTATTTTAGAAAGCTGAGTGTCCTCAGATAGAGGACAAGACCATGGTCTTAGTGTAGGTCTGATGCTGATTCAGCTGAGGTGAGTTCACCAAACACAGTTCACTGTAAATTTGAAGTAATCACAGCAGTTTTTACCAAAAAATATTACAAAAAACCAAGCATGCACAATGTCTGCCCCTGCTTTATTTGACATGAGAAGTGTCATGGTCTAGTTAAACAATTTTTAGCTACAGATTTTTCAGCTGTACTCTTTCAGGATTTGTTTTTTTAATTTTAGTGCCTACCAATAATTTTGGACAACAAACTAAGTCACCCACTCCTGGAACAACTCCTGCCTGCAACCAAACACAGTCTTCATGACAATTCTGAGAAAGTGCGAGTGGCTTTTGTGGAAATGCTGCTCAAAGTGAAGGCTACCAAGGCTGCTAAGGTAGGATAATGGCACTCAATAAATAACAAGGAGACAAAATCAAGGAATTTATGTTAAAAAAAAAAGAAAAAAAAGTACATTTTGAGACTTCTGCAGTGTTCCTAAAAAAAGAAAGAAGTAACCTGCTTTGCTCTGGTTATACTCTAAATATTTGTGGCACCCTGAGTGCTCTGTGGGCCCTTTGTTCTCTCTGTTGGATGGGCAGGGGAGAGCAGTGGGTTACAGCCACACTTCCCTCAGCTGCCCAACTCTTCTAAATGCCCAACACCTTAACCCTTAGCTTTTTTGCTTTGATTCTTATATTTTTATCATGTCTGTTCCTAATTTGTGGGCACATCCTTTGGGATTTTAGTGTCATAGTGATGTTTAATGTATTTTGTGTTCTGCTGTGGACTCTTATTTAGGGTGATACTGTCCAGCTACAGGTCTTGTAGCATCTTTGAGCTCTTATTCCACTCTCTAATGTTAATAGTTTCTTAATTTCAGTTTTATATTTTCATTTAACTGGTTTTGTCTCTTCCTAAGACTAATAAAGATATAAAACTATTACAAAGCTTCCAGAGGAGAGCTCTGAAGATGGTGAAGGGTGCAGAGAGAAAGCCATAGAAGGAATGGATGAGATCACTTGGTTTGTGAATTATTCTGAGTTTGCTGCCATTAAAGACAGAGAAAAAAGTTAATTCTCAATGTCAGGGATTTTTTAGGGGAAGAATAGATCAGGTTTACATAAGGAAAAATAAGATCCTAGTAAGTGTTAGATGTTTTTCAATAACTTCTTTTGATTTAGAAACCGTAATGTATATCCCTGATAAGTCCTGGGTTCACCTTAAACTTAATTTTTATGACAGTTCTAATAGGGACATCCATGGTTCAAATTCAAAGGGTAATTAGCTGCTTCAAATATTTCTACTCAATAGTAAAATAGGTTCCTTGGCATTGAAAAATACTTTGTTTTTTAATTCAAAATTGTCCAACATAATCAATTCAGAATCATCTCAAAAAAAATTGTAAATGTAGTGTTACCACTGGCATAAGAGCTGTGTAGTCCATCTGAATTTCATAGCCTTTGATTTCTGTGTTACAAATAAACTGGAGCTCTACTAAGAGTGGGATGCATTCAATATTTAGTAGTATGGGGTTTGGGATGGTTTTGGAAAGACTGTTGATCCATACAGGTTTTTAAGGTGTACACAATACTTGTAAATAATTTGGTCCTACTTCTTCCTGTGAGGAGAATATGAAACATGGCACATAGTGATAGATAATTGTATTTTACGGTGATATCCTTGTAAAGTAAATAGTTCTTCCTGTATCTATGGAATTGCATTAGTATTGCAGGTGTATTAAACTGGAATTGCTTGAACCACAGTTTTTCCAGTGAGTCAGAGATACCAGAAGATTTAAAACATCAGCACAGCAAATACCATTACTGCAGCAGAATTTGATCTCTAGTACATGTTGGTGTAAAAATAAAAAAAAATTAAAATTCTCATGTTTTCCAAGTTAATGTTCCTTACATTTGTATAGACTATTGACATGGAAATCACTTACTGAAGGTGATGGTTTTTTTCTCCATTTTTATTTAACTCCTTTGAATATCTTTTTCTCACTTTACAAAGTTCTGGAATATCTGTCCCATGGAGCATCTCCTGTCCCGCCTTGAAGTTGATTCGAGGCCGGTGTCCCGGCGCATTGTGAACCTCCTGCTGAACTCCTTCTTCCCCACTACCCAGCCTGAGGAGGTGTGGTGTGAGCGCTGTGTCACTCTGATCCAGATGAACCCAGCAGCAGCCAGGAAGTTCTATCAGTATGCTTATGAATTTACTGGCCCCACCAATATAGGTAAAGTACAAAACATTGTGAGCTTTTGGAATTACTGATATCATGCCATGTAAATGCATTCTTCTTATTATTTCTGTAACAATGGTACATTGTTGCTGGATTTTTGGGGGATTAGCATAATATTAGTTTGTAGTTTTTGAAATTCTTGACACCAGCAATAAGCACAGCAGGTGAAGTCATCAGCTTTTTCAACAGTGAGGAGATCAAAGATTTTCATCTCTGCTTTTTGATGCTGTGCTGTACACCCCACCCCATGGTGGCACCAGTTCCTTCTGTTCCCCCTTCTCCCCACACAGACCTTACAGCTATCTCAGCTGATACCTATTTCTTATGTAGAAAAAGGGTAGCAAGTACCTGGTGCCTTAAGTGATTTGAGATCTTCACATGAAAGATTATATAGAAACTGAAAAAATGTTTACATCTGATAATCTGGTTATCTGGGATTTATGGATCAATATTTTCAAGTTGCTTTGGGAAAATCTAAAAAGTCTTCTTTCAGAAAGCTTCAGAAAGTTTCAGTGAAGAGGGCATGTACTGCCCAGAATGTCACTGCTTTTTAGGAAAGTCCTATTGAACCAAGTAAAATCAGGAAAATTTTGTTCCAGAGGAGTTCTGATAAAACCCAAGTAATGAGCATGGAGTGACTTGGGTGAAATGCCCAAACCATTGCCTCTCAGCTGATCATCTTGATAAGGTTATGAAATCAGCTTGTACTTCCATCAGAGTGGGCATAACCCTTTCATGTCTTCTAGAGCTGAGCTTCTCATTCAGGAGTACAATGATTGGGCTATGACATCTTTTCCAAAGAATGGGAATTGACCTAGAAGGGAATGTGTTCTAGAACATGGGTCATTGGGTTAACACCTATGCCAGATTAAATTTAGGAGTTGTGGGAGCTTCCTCTGAATTTGATTTTGATGAGGTGGTGGTTATTTTTTTATTATACTGTTTTAACAATAAAATTAAAGACCCTGGTGATAATGTTGTCATTTCTTCTTCATACTTGAGGATATAAAACATGTTCACATTTTTTTCATTTTCTTTACAAGGAAATTTCTCCATTTTTTCCTAGCTTTTTCTGATTCTGTTGGCTACTTTTCATACTGTCTTTACAGTATGAAAATAACTATTATTTATAATTATTTATTATTAATTATTATTAAGCAATAATTCTTTATTATTAAAATATTATTATTTATAATTCTAATTAGAAGCATTTATTACCAACATTCATTATATATCGAATGTCTATTCTTATTCATTTTAAATGTAGCTAAATTGATGCTCACTATTCGGCGCTGCTTGAATGCCTGCATCCAGAAAGCAATGAAGGAGAGTCTTCATGATAGTGGGGATGATGATGGTGATGATGAAGAACATGGAAGTGAAAGGGAGAACAGCAGTGTAAGATAGTACATTTTATGCAAAATTCTGGTAACTTGTTTTCAGTGCTGCTTAATGTCACACAGGATGTGACAGAAAGTCTAAAGGAAGGCCCTTGGGCATCTCTGGAATTGGAAGGGTGGAACCACTGTTACTGGATTTTCATGTCCTGCAGCAGCAGAAATTTTGTCAAGTAGCTGGAATAAGATAGAAGGAATATGAAGCATATTTTAAATTATTAGTTGCCTAATTCTAGTGCTGATTATAAATTGGTTGGTTTTGCAGTTAAATTACTTTAAAAATTACCATTACAAGATATGTGAAGTTAGAGAGATTAAGACTGAATTGTGGAGTTCCTATTCTATGACAACCAAAATGTCTTTTGTAAAGGGACTAGAAGGATTTTCAGTGTCTTTTAAGCCTTATTTTGATTTAAATTTCTATTTGAAAACATAATGGGTAATATCATCTGAGTGTTTGTATTTCAGGTTTTGGATAATGTGTTGTCAGTAAACGACGTGGCCAGCATGGCAAGCTTGTTGGAGATCACTGTAATACTCTGGAGAAGTATCCACAAAGCACTAGATCACAATGAAGATGCCAAAGATTATGCTATCAGGAAGTTTGCTTCTGTACTTCCTGAATATTTTAAAGTATTTCGGGTAAAGAAAGCCTAGATTTTCCTGTATTTTCTCAGTATTTTCTTCAGATGCTTTCATGTTTTATGTTTTATCTATTTTTATGGCATTAAATATTCTTTTTTATTGTTGCTATAAACTATAAACAGCACAAATTGGTAGAAACTATTCTCCAACTTCAGTGTCTGACTGATGAACCATTATATAAATAGTCAGCTCAGAAATACTTATGCAATAAATTGCTCTCCTTGTAAGGTTTTCCTAGGGTTTTATTCTTTTGAATGCTTTAGAACTTTTGGAAAACAGTAAACACAAATGTGCCATTGCAGAATAAATACTCATTGTACATTGGAATCCACATATTTTTCTACCCACTGTCCCCCAGACTCTTCCACCAGCACCACTCATGATTCAGCTGCAACTGAAGCAGCTGAGGCTCTTTTTTCACTGCATATGGGCTGGCAGCGTACACTCACAGCCCAGAAAGCCAAATATGTCCTTCTGACCTGCTGGAGTGAGTCCAAAGGAAGCCACCAAGATGAGAGGGATGGAGCACCTCTCCTAAATGGAAAGGCTAAAAGAATTTGGATTGTTAAGCCTGGAAAAGAAAAGGCTTTGTAGTGAACTAAACTGCCACCTTCCAGTGCCTGAAGGGAGCCTGCAAGAAAGACAGAGAGGGACTTTTTTCAAGGGAGTGTAGTGACAGGACAAGGGGCAATGGATCCAAACTATGAGAAAGTAGGTTTAGATGAAATACTAGGAAGAAATTCTTTACTGTGAAAGTGGTGAGACACTGGCACAGGTTGTCCAGAGAAGCTGTGGATACCCCATCCCTGGCAGTATTCAAGGCCAGCTTGGATGGGGCTTGGAACAACCTGGCTAAGTGGAAGGTGTCCCTGCCCATGGCAGGGTGGTTGGAACAAGATCTCTTTGTCCCTTCCAACCGAAACCATTCTGTGATTCTGAGGTTTCTGCTAATTTGAATACTCTCTAATGATCTGTTGATGCATTTATTTATTGCTTTGGTTTGATATAGGCAGTTAATTAAAATAAGTAATTTTCAAATTGTCAGTCTCCTTGCTGTAGTTTTTTTTAGTGTTATTCTTGAGGAGGGTGCCATCCTAAGAGTCGCCAGTAGTGGCTGCTGCTCCCAGAGTGAATTTGGAAGGATTACATACTGGATATCTTTTTCTCAGTTGATGGCTTTTATGTTGAAGTATCCTGAAATATGGTGGCTGTTCCACTGCAACTTTGCTTTAGATAATCAGGGAGTGAAAAGCAGCTCATTGCAGCATATTATTCTGCAGCACAGATATGTGAGTGCTCTTTACCCTGAAAGCATTTGGAAGTTGTCAAAGACATTCCAAATCTTTTTGGGTTGAGGATGTAACATCCTTTCTGAAAGGGCCTGGTGAACAGACAAGATATCCAGCTTTAGCAAACAACCTCTTTGACTTTGATATTCTTATAGTGAGTAAGCAGCTTGGATGTAAAAGGACCTGTCATCAAGGGGCTTAGTTCCTAAAAGGCTACAAACATACTGAAGCAGCCTGTCTCTTTCCTGAAAAAGCTACAAATATATTTTAAAAGTTCTTTTAAAAATATGAGCTCTAAAAACGATTTTATATTTTGGAATGGCCAAGTAGGTGATAATTTCATTTGGCTGTTTCCATGAAGCTTGGACATAGAGAGAAACTATTTTTGAAGAGTTCTTAACATAGATTGGTTTCTGTATAACCCGAGTGAGATGATGTTGTGGCCCAGACCATGCATTATTTCATGTTGTAATGAATAATAGTGCATTAAACATTACTACTGTTATTTATATAAGAACCTTTTCCTTTAGAGTCTTTTTAATAAGTTTGTGGTGTGAATGAATATTCTTTTAAGGCATTGGTTACTTGAGAGGAGTTAGATGGTGTCATGGTTGTGCAATTCAATCTTAGTCACACTGGGAAAAAAAGTTAGGTAGAGCTGCTGTTTCTTTTGCAATGAGTATTAACTTAATGGATCCATGACTGATTATTCATGGTAGTTATTCTGGCAGTTTGTCAGAAAGCTGAAGGATACAACAATTGACCTCCAAAACCAAGAATTAGACATTTCAGATTGCAAGCTAATATTGATTTGAGTTTCTTTCAGCTCCATTTGTAGTGAAAAAGGGAAATCTTTAATCTAAGAAAATGTAATCGTACTTTCTCAGTACTCTCTTTAGTTTTGCTTGCATGTATGTACCTTCCATTTACATCATGTGGTGTAATTCTTTTATCCTAGGATGAGCGGTGCATGACTCCATTGGTTATTCTGGCATCCTTTCTGCCCCCTGCTGCTATTCCTACATTCAGGTACTGTTTGGAAATCCAAAATGCAAATGACAAGAAATTTCTTGTTGGCTGTATTTGTTCATTTTTCACAGTCTGATATATTAAATGCCTATTTGGATAAATTAAGACCCTAAAAACTGTGATAAGTCAGTAAAATTAGTGATGTTCAAGTCTAAGTTGTTGGTGAATCCTTTGTTTGTATTATACTAATTGTTTTCTGCACTTAAGGGTGTAAAGATAATGTATCTCTTTGTCTGTTTTCTTTTAAGCTGTGGCGTGGTTTCCAGACTCAGAAATATTGACAGTGGAGCTAACCAAGGCAAATATTCTATCCTGATTGACTGCCTGTGCCGCTGGGGTCAAGTGGGGCACATTATGGAACTAGCCTGCGATTGGCTGTCTGACTCACTCACCCCAACAAAGGTCTGCATATGCATATGACAGGGAGTATAGGAATTGCCAGACTTCTTTAAGGCATCATACTTTTTAAAAATAGAATAAGACTTTTTAATGCTATATTATTCTGCTTTGAAATCAGTTCTAAAGTCAGATACTAAGACTTGTACTGGTTTTGTGCTTCCTTCCTATTCAGAATACTAAAACATCTGAGCGTCGAGTACGTATCCACGTAACACAAGAATCAAAGCCAGACTTAGCAATTGACTACATTGAGTATTTATTGACTCATCCTGTCAATCGTGGTTGCCTCCTTTCTGTTCCTAAAAAGAAACTGAAGAACCTTTTGAAAATTCTTGGTGCTGCAAAGGTAATTTTCTCCTTATCAAAAACAGTGCTTATAAAATCAGAACTTAACATCATATATTGCCTGAGTCAAACTAAAGGCATCAAGAACAAATAAATGAGATTCATGATCCCCTCTCCCTTTGTAACAAGATTTTCCTTTTTATTTGTACTTCCGACAAATACTCTAAACAGAAGTATAGTAGTTCAGAATTGTTTATAGATGGCAGATTTTAACCAGCTTCTCAGTTTTAGATATCTCAAAATTTTTGTGATCTAATGTTGAGTTTTTTTAAGGCACCTGACTTTCAGAATATGCAGATAAGGAACAGTCTGAAAATAAATTATGGCACTGCAAAATGGAAATATTAAAGTATGCTTGTTGCTTTTTTGGTCTTGGTGCTTTGCTGTTTTTATGGGTTTGGGGTTTTTTTTTAACCTTTTGTTTAAAGCTGTTGAGGAAAGAAACATTTGAAAAGATTTTCTGAAAAATATAAATGTAAACCTTGATATTTCAGCGGGTTCTTGGCTCAATTCTGAAAGGAACAGATTCTGGTGTCTGGAATCAAGCAACCAGCCTAAGAGCCTTCAGTCTCTTTTGCAGATTGAGTATTCATCTTCAGCACAAGGTATGCATATAGCTTTCCAGAATAAGCTGGAGTTACAGTTGACAGTATAAGAAAATTCAAAAACAACTGGAGACACAATTGGTAAACTTCCCATTGTTTTTTTACAGTTTTCTGAAGAAGGAGAAGATTACCTTTCACTTCTGAAGGAGACAGGCGCTTGGATAGAAAGTCAAGTTGTACCTTTTATACTAGCAAGTGATCAAGAGAATGGCATTTCAAAACACAGTGATGTTTCTGAATTAATTATCCAGGTTAGAAGATTCTTATAAATATAAATCAAGCTGCCTTCAGTTTGAAAAGGTGTAGGTGTAGCAATTTGTATGCAGACAAACTGCACTGGCACTTGTGTCATCATTTACAGTGTCCCTTACCCCTGATCTTGATTTGTCCTTCAAAGAAAGCATTTGATGATGTAATGTGGGTGACGTTTTAGCTAGTTCTGAATTGTTTTCTGTTGCATTCCTCTGACATTTCATTTAACCCAAGGTGGTTTTTAGCACTGAGCTTTTACCAGATTATGGTGAAAGGAAAGATTTGGCTAACTTTGGTCCCAGTCAGTGTCCTTGAACAACTCAGTTCACATATACACAGACTGATTAAAAATTCTCAATCTATCTATGTCTGTCTCATAATAATCTCTTTAGCATGTAACAGCTCTGTGTCTGTAGGGAAAAGCTCTTTTTGTCTGCTTTTTGTCTGGTTTCAGTTTTGCTATTAAAGGCAGGTAAGACGTCATATTTTGCCTCAGTACATGATAAGTATCAGTGCCTTTGATCTGAGCCTGAGTAAAAAAGAGAGGATTTACTGCCTTTTGAGAAATCATTTCCTGTTGGGAAAGGGCAATGGAAACATTAGGAGGACTGCTTGGAATTTGTGCTTGTCAGCAGGTGTGAACTGAGTAACTGCAGTTAGTTACCCCAGCTCTCAGGGCATCTTGGCTAAGAGTTTGTGGTTTTACTATGTTTGAGTTTTGTTGAATGGTTGCTTTACATAAAGTTTGGGTTTCCTATAATTTTGCACCTCTCTTCTAGGCCTACCTGACAGTGTGTAAAGATGTCATAATGGTGGGCCTGGGAAATGTCACATTTCAAGTACACCTTTTAGAAATGACTCTTCTGATTATGCAAACAGGTACCCTATTTTGTACTAATACCAACAACTGCATTTATACTTAGCTGACTTTTCTTGTATTGGCAAGTTAGTTAATCCCTAACTTTTAAGGGTTGGAGGGAACACTGGATTCATACTTAAAATATTAATTGGACTGTATGAAAATTTCAGCTAAGGGTTCTCAGAAACTAAATGTATTGTCTACACTTGTAAACTATCACTGTGTGTTGTATCTGAGTTTCATTCTAAGCTTGTACCTGATGAGTATCACAGCTTTCATATTGTGCTATTTTTCTCTAGAGAGAGGTGGCTTTTGTGCTCCAGTGTTGCTGTGTACGCTAAAAGAAATTATTGAAGCTTCTTTAAATCAGAATACTGAGACAGAGGAAGTGACAAACCTTTTCCACACTCTACAGAACGTCTTTCAGAAAATTTTAGAATGTGTGGCACATAGACTTAAGAAAGAACAGGAAGAAGGGATTCAGGTATCACAGTTCAAATTGCTATGTAATTGCTAATGTCTAGATGAATCCATAATTTTTATGCAAAGGGGTATACTTAGGCACTTTGTGGTTGTTACCTCACTATGACTTACTGTTTGGGTAGACATGTGATTAAATTTTCAGTTGAATTCTCTAAGTTTTCTTGTTACCATTTTTTTTTTTTTTCGATTTTGGTCTCATCATGACAGCAGAACTTGTAAATTGCAGAACAAATTCCTTCTGTTCCAATGATCCTGGACCTTGCTGGTACTTCTAGGTTGTCTAATCTTGTCTGCAATTAGATGAACTTCCTCAATCCAGAGCAAAGGATTTTTTTATATATGTTATGATCTTGGAGGGAGGAGAAATTTTCTTCATTATTTATTTCTTTTTGCCAGAATGATACCAACTTTAAAATATGTATGATGTTCTAAAATTCTTGAAAATCTCACATCTTAACGGAAAAGTTGACTTCTTATATTTTAAAGCAGATACTAAATGTGTAGTAGTGAAATGGGTGGATCATTCTGGGAAATCTGACAATCTCCTTTTCAGGACTCAAAAAACATTCAGTTCTTTTTTGTAAGAAGCACTGCCTTGTTAATTTCTCTCAAATATCTGAGTAGACTTCCCAGTTGTTGCTGATTCCCCCTCTGATCCCAAGTGACTAGGTTACCTCAAAGATTTCAAGGTGTGGTCTGCACTTCACAGAGACTTGCTGGTATATTTCAATTATACTCAAGCAATATGAAAAGAAATATGTGTTTTTCTTTCTGGTTTTAGTTGATTCACTCTATTCAGATGCCTCTTGGAGAATTCATCCGTTCACTGCAGTGCTGGCATTCCTTGTTCCCAGCAGTTCACCAGGGTGTACTCTCCACTCTCTTGGCTTCAATAGTAGCAGAGATAAATTGTGTGCTACAGAAGGTAAAGTTAATCCTGATTTTTCTATTTAACACTTTTCAATTTTTATGTGTTATGTTGGAGCAAAAGAGCTTTATTCAGAAAATTGGTCTTTGTATTGCAGATGAGGATTTTTGTGTGTGTTGGCATGGAATAAACAGGAAATTTAATTTGCTCTAATTTCATATTTATTGCTCAGAGTTTATTGCTCAGATTTCTGACTGCAGTTGTGTAGGAGCAGACTTGTCTGGGTACCTATTGCAGTATCTGCATATGACAGGAGAACTTAGCAGTTAGGCAGTGTTGGAAATTAACAACGTGGGTTCTGGAATATTCCCTCTGTGCTTTTGTAGTGGGACTGGCTCGGCAGGAGTCAGTTTTCCTCCCTGGAGTTCCTGTGCTGCTGTGGTTGGCATTTGTGGCCAAGGCACTGTTGAGGACACACCAGTTTGTTTTGGCTGTTGCTGAGCAGTGCTTGCAGAGTGTTCATGTCTCCTGGTTCCTTCACCTTCACTCTGAAAAAAAGGCTGTGTGTGTGAGGCTGAGAGGCGACACAGCCAAGACTGTGGACCCAAACTGATCAAAGGCTTATGCCACACCATACAGTGTGTGTTCAGCAATTAGAGCTCAGGGAAAGACAGAGAACAGGGGCTTGTTCTAAACTTACCTCACTTCGTCTCACCCAGATTAGGGAACTTGGGAAGTGAACTGATGTGTGACAGATTCCCATTCCATATTCTTGGAATGGTCCCATAAGGTTCTGTAGTTCTCTTTCAAAGCAGGCTGATGTCCTGCTTGGCATTCTCTGCTTCCATACAGAGACATTTCATGTGCTGCATCTCTTTTTTGGGTTCCTTTGGTTTTTGGTGCAGAGGATTTCCAAATATCTGATCTGTGTTGCTTTGGAAAGTAAAGAAATAATCTCTGATATTGAAAAGAAAGTCGGACAGAGGTTATTTCATGTTCTGAAAGTCCAAGGAACCACAATTGTCCTTGAAGGAGAAGGGCAGTGTTCCCATCCCATTTTTCTAATGCAGATAGTGTTAGGAGCAAATATGATTAGTGAGATTGGAAGCTTTGAGAACTAAAAAGGAAGAGCTGAGGCTCTTTAGTAGAGGCTGTACTTTTGCTGTGGGTTCTGGATGTGTCAGAAACTGAGCAAGAAACAGTTGCCAGAAAGTACACAGAGCAGCTTCCAAGGGTCTGTTCCAGCAGGCACTGAAGGAGTACCAGCTGTTTGCCTGCAGATATTGATGTATCAGCTGAGAGACTGTAGGGTGACAGGTGCTCTTTACAGATGATGCAGAGGAAACATTACTGGGCTTGAATATACTGGAGGTTCATACTCATAGATTGTTTATTCCAGACATTCTGGAATAAACACCATCTGAGCTGGTGTTTTCCCTGCCCCCAGGTTGTTGTAAATCAAAATTCAGTTGTAACTAAATACTTGTCATACTATCCAGAACTTTATACCAAAAAGAGCAGGTATCCAGAAAATCACTGTCTTTGAAGTTACATTAGAAATCATGGATGCACACTTCAACTTGGACCCACAGAGGGGACTCATTTGTGTTTAATAGGCTTTATAAAGGGTGTAGTTAAATGAAATTTCTGGTGAAAGTAACTGCAGAGAATATTTGCCTTGTTACAATTACTGTTTATGTGGTTTAGTTTCAGTCATTCTTATTTAAATTAGTTTTGTTTATTTGGACACAAGAGAGTTGGATTAAAGCTATTCAAAGGATACTTGTGAATGTTTAAATTATTTAAGGATAGGTCCTGGTTAGTGTAATTATTGAAATACAATATTCTGCATGCATATCTTTCTTGAGCTATAATGGTTGTTGACTTTTTATTCTGTTTAAGGCTTCCAGTGAAGAAGACTTGACTATGCCAAAGACTATTTCAGACCTTCCCCCTCTTTCAAGCAGTTTAATGGCTATAATTTTGAAGTCAGTTAATGTTGTCAGGTAAATGTTTCTATATTAATTTTTCCTAGGCTTTTGGTAATATAGAACAGTTTATATGTTGTCAATAAAATTTTAATTTCTGAATTCAAATAAACTTTGAGGAACTAGTTTCTTTCTAAATTTATTTGGACTATTTAATAATCTCCTTTTCTTGACATACTGCCTGTAGATATTGATTGCTGGGGTTGAGTCCATTTTTTTAACCAAGAGTTCTTCTTATTTACAAGACTGTTAATCATGATGAGTTTTTTAATGATACATCTTGGCTTGCTTCTTTCATTATAATACTTATAAAGCTGAGTCTCCTCAACACAGAGGTATTAAGATGAGATAAAATATTTGCCAGAAATAGAATTAATCCTTTAGTTGAACATCTGCAACGAGATACCTATGGCTGTATTAAAGTCACAGCATTCAAAATAGAAAGTATCTGAGTGCTAAAAGCCTCCAAAAGTGGGCTTGTGTTATTTATTTTTTAAGATTTAAACTGAGGGGGAGGGTATTTGCTATATTTAGTGAGGGCTCTGAATATCTTTTAAAAGTATCACAACTAAATTTCATTTTGCATGGTTTGTTCATACTCAATTTTTCTTTACATGACTGTACACACTAGACTTGTTTTAAATTATAAAGGGGCTTAGAAGTCCTATTGCTCTCCCTGACTTACCACAACTAATTCCTCTTCTTAGCTTCCTCATCTGACAGGCATTGAATATCCCCGTCTCTCCTGTCACGACATGTCTTTTTTCTTCTCAGTCCTTCTCTAATTCTAGCTGAACTTGCAAAGCAAAAGACTCCAGAGACTCTAGCAATAGTCCTACTAATCCAAATCTTGCACTTGCTTGAGGCAGCAGCTCTCCATCAAGGTCTTCTCTTCTAGTGAAACAATTATTTTACATATCTCTTTTCAAAAGAGATGCAGAAAATCAGATAATTCTTCTGAAACTTTTTCTTGTAGTAATCAAGGTGAATCTTGTCCATTCTTGGTGGGAAAAAAAACTGCAAGTTTGATCCAAATTGTTTCTGAGTACTTGGGAAAAAATGTATCTTCTATAATTTATCTTTTTGGAGCAAAGATTTGGAGATAATTTCCATCTGGTTCAACTGGTGCTTCAGAATTGAGACTGCTTTTAAGGCTCTTTCACAAATCTGTAGTGATAGGCTATAATCAGAATCCAGTAGCAAATAATTTGGTGTTTCAGAAATCTTTATGTCAGCCTGAACACCTTTGACTTTACAAAATCTGATGTGTCTTCTCTGTGAGCTCACAGTCATCTTGCTCTGAGTTCTGCAGAATCTGTTTTATTTTCAGTGCTAACCAGTCAGCCTCTAGCACTGAATTTCAATCCCCATAGCAGTGATAGTAGTGGGAAGCTTAGCAATGCCTGTCCAATTGTGTGAGTATTCTCCATTTTAGTAGGAAACTATCTGTATAAAGACTATTTCAGACCTTCCCCCTCTTTCAAGCAGTTTAATGGCTGTAATTTTGAAGTCAGTTAAAATGTTGTATATTAATTTTTTCAAGGTTTTTGCTAATATAGAATGGTTTTTATGTTGTCAATGAAATTTTAATTTTTAAATTAAAATAAATGTTGAATAACTAGTTTTTGAATTTACCTCTGAACCTTATAGGTATTTTTAAATAGCTTATTGTTCCGTTCTATTTTCTTTGCCTGCAGGCTCATATGACCATTTTTTGGAGGGAGGTGGGGAAAGGCAGCTGCAGTGAGTCTTGTTACAGGTTAATGAAATTCCAGTGTTCCTTCATGGGGGTTAAGAGTGTGCTTAGTGACCCAAACAATGCTAACAACGAAGTCAGGACTCTGATCCCAGTAGTGTCCCTTAGCAATTTAAGGCCAAGGTGAAATGGAATCAATGCTTGGTCATGTTAGTCCACAATGATACAATGAAACTGATGCTATGCCTGAGCAACTTCATAATGCTTATTTCTGAAGCTAAAGATTTTTCATCTTTCTCAGCTCTTAGAAGCAATATTTGAATTTCTGCAGAAGGTTTTTACTGAATTGGTTCTTAACTGCATATTTCATTTTGATATCTTAGCACAATAAAAGCCTGAAGAACAATTGAAGTCAGAACTGGCAATGTATGATGTTCTGTTTTCATAACAGATAATAATATTGCTAAAGGTATTTTGAAATATGTTAGGGAAAGTTACTCTAATGTAAAATTGCTGCTCTCAGTTTCCCCTTTAGTTGATCACAGAACATTTAGCTATGTGCTCTGAGGATACCAGGATTTCTTCCATCTCCTGTTTTATCTGCCTTGTTCTTTTATTTTGCTCTGGTTTTGAGAATTGCTTCTGAGTTAAATTTGGGATTTTTGCCACAAACACTAATGACCAGTTACTGTTTGCATCCTGTGGTATTGACTTATTCCCTAGTGCAGTTCAGTCTGGTTGTTAGACCTCATCTGTGACTCTCATTTCATTTCTCTTACCTTGACATATATCCCAAAACATCACTAGAGTTTGCTGGTAATACTTTCATCTCATGCTAGAGGTGAAAAAATCTCTTAAGATACATATTGGGTTAGTATTTTACAAGGAGCTGCTGTCATGGTCCTGTTATTCAGTTATTTAGTTTCAGTAACTAAAATGTTGCTTGGAAGTGTTTCAGGACATTGTTTAGTTAAAAATGATCTTCACTGGGTTGTAATTGGAAGATCATCTATTTTAATATTAATGAGAAACACATTTAAGGTCAAAATGTTAACTCTGAGTAGGTACTAGCAAACCAGTGGAGCTATAGAATATATTTTTTCTAACTACTGTAGAAATTTGAGTTAGAAATTTCAGTACAAATTCTGTGAATTAAGTTCCAGTAGAACCACTGTTTTTTTCATGGATCAACTTTCCTAAAATATACCACAAGCTCTTCAATTTTCTTAACAGCCAGTTTTTCTGTTTGCAGACTTTCTTATTTTCTTCCCAAGCAATTTACCATGCTTTGATATTCTCAGTTCCAGAGACACATAGTTTTCAGTTACTCAATCACACTGCTTTGTCCTGCATGATATCTTTGAAGCTGTGGTGGCAGGGTAGCATAATTACAAATATGTTCTGTTCAGTTCTATTTTGAAATATGGTTTATAACACATTTTTTCTTTATTTTTTGCCTTAGGTCAATTTTAAATGAATTAATGGAGTACATTCTCTCTGAAGGAATTGAAGGAATTTTTAGTCTAACAGCTACTGTCTGCATTGTGAATATAATTAAAGGTCAGTTAAAACATTTTTGTCCTTTTTCCATCTTTCTTTTTATGTACTACATTGAAACACACAGTAGTTAATCCAGGACAGTGAAAATCCAATTTCATATCTAATCTTCCATTAAGCAATCTTTCATGGTTAAAGTTAGTCTATGAAAATATGGAATGGTGGGGTTGTTTTCTTGAAAAATTATTATTGTTGTCCAACATTTCAACTCGTTTCAAATAGGTGGTAAGCACAAAACTTCACTTCTAAAGGATATTGCACCTGCCATTCAAAGGAAATTGATAGTATGCAAGGATGCTGCCACAGGAGAATTCAGCAGTGCTGAAAGGTGGGTGTACAGTGGGAAAGGAGCACTGAGCTCTCCTATCCCCTCTCTGCAATAATTGGTTCTGTTCTGTACTTACATAACACTGTTAGAACATTCTGAGCGATTGACTGCAAGGTTTAAAACACTGAGGGGGGGGAAGTGGGAGGTATTGAGCCCTGCACAGTATTAAATTTCCTGCCCTTATATCTGCTGTGATTGCAATCTTTACATATTTAGCTTCAGGCTTTTTTCATTTAATTTGAATGTGTTATCACTTGATCCTGTATATTGCAGGATTCACTTCTGAAGTCCAGGTCTGTTTGCAGCAGGGGTAGAACAAAACAAATAGTCCAGTTACTATTTCTTATTACTAGAAGATTTTTCTCCCACACTTTGGCATTGGATATATGAATCCAAACCTATGCTGGCAGGAAATATTTACCTGAGTATAACAATGACTTTGAGACCTTTCCACAGGTGATTTTATTTTGCTTTTTTTTGTGGGGGGATTTCAAATGTCATATCTGGTATATCTTTTGTGAAAAAAATTTTGAAAGTGATTGACTGCATTGTATTTGTAATCAGTTATCTCAGCCCTGTCTAGAGAATCATGATGATTGCTTTAGCCTTTAGTGTCTCACTTAAGTCTTAAAATTTGGGAACATCTGATTTCAGCCTAGTTATTGAATAGCCCATGGAATCAAAAAGTGTGCAAAGAAGCCATTATAAGCACAAATACAGAATGTGAAGAAATCACGCTGGGGTTATGGACATTAATCCAAAGTTACTGAGAAAGTTTGCAATGCACCACAGAGGCCTGAACTTGCAGAGGCCCTTGCAGTCTTTCATCCTTCAAACTAGTGATCCTTACTATTCAGTCAAACAATGGCTGTAGAGTAGACAGACTTTAAAATTAAAAAAACAAAACAAACCAAAGACCCAAACAAGCCAAAAAGCCCATTGTATAGGAACCTCATTGTATAGGAGCTTCATTTACTCAAGTTTCTTGCACGGCTCTCCCAGCCTGAGCACACTTCCCCAGTGTGCTCTTCTCATGGATCCCTGACCTAAGGCACGTTGTTCTCTGGCATTTTAGTGACTTGACATAGACATTGGTGGCTGAGCTGTGCCTCCATCCAGAGGATGGTGCTCTGGGGACCCTTCCAGAGTCTTCCTACCTGAAAGAGGCCTGCAGGAAAGCTGGAGAATTGCTTGGTTGTGAACAAAAAGGCCTTTGGTCAGGACCTAGCTTAGAAACAGAATCAAACATAAATAAACAAAATCCCATTCTTTTCCCCATTAAATTATTTTACGGTGGGTTTCCAAGTATCCTACTAGAATATTTTTAATAATAATAATAGTAATAATAATAATAATAATCTGGAAAAGAGGGAGAGCAGCAGGGCATTGTGTTTCAGTTTGCACTTCTAATCAAGACAGTAGAAAAAGCTGTGAATTTAAAGTGAATCTTAACATGATTAAATAAATTGGCACATTAAAGTGAATAATTGCTGCCACTTGAGAGCACTACTGACTATAAATTTCAGTGAGAACACAGATAATTGCTTTATGAATCTATATGATCGTCTCTGCCCAGTGAACTGGGACAAATCAACTTGTATGTTGGGGCAGATGAAGAGTATAAGATGCTACACAGTGTTTTAATTTCATGATATATGAGTGGCTACCTTTGTATAATACCAGTCCAGGAGACAGTTGCAGACAAAATTCAAGGGTTAGGGATATGAATATGATAATGGGAATGGGAATTTTTCTGTGAATCAGAATTGTATTATAATGAAATTCAGAAGCTATCACACAGCTTTGCAGAATTTGGGGGGGATTCATATTTGTACAGTTATGTTGGGTGTTTTTCCGCTCCAGAAAGGTAAAATAATTGATGCTGGAAAGAGGTTTGGAGGAAGTTCTGCAGTGATTAGGTTTTACACGATGAATTAAAGTGTGCTTGCAGTCTCACAGCTAAGACAGAACGTCAGACTAGGCTGGGCCTCTGGTGGCTTCTGATGTGCCATTTGTAGTGCTTTGCTGCTTGTGTGCTAATGTACAGCTAAAATGTGATTATACATGGTCTGAAGCGTGCCCTATTGTTTGTAAACTATTTTATCATCCTACTCAACTTACCAAATTTTAGTTATGGTATGCTGCAAGCTATATCTCTGGTCATTAATATGATGACAGACCTCTAACACACACTACTGTGCTGCTGCTTGCTAAAATACATTACTGGGTTTTAACTCATTCTTAATAATATTACTGTTTTTTGCTTCTGAATGCATTATCTCCTAATAACTCCTTGAGGGATTATTTTATTCAATATCCAGGTATACCAGGAAATGGTGACATTCTTTAATTTCCCAAGAGAACTGGTATTCTGTGCCAGCATCTTAACTTCAGACTTAGGAGTAATCTCTTACATATTAGCAATGAAAGAAAAAAGTAAAAAATGCTGTCTGGTGTAGTAATTAAGGTGCTGCCTTATACAAGGAATTGTCGCACTAATTCAGAAGCAAAACTTTTCAGTGCAATTTAGTCTTCCCTTTTCAGCTGAGTTAGTGGTTTCAGATGGTCCTGTGGGTCTGCATTTTTAAAATGCTGTTCAGCGCATTTAAAAATTCTGGACAACATACTGTATATTGAGAGAATTTCCTGAAAAGTAATGGCACGTACATTAATTTGGTTTATAAAATGCAAATACTTATGCCTAACACAAAAAATGCAGATAAAGCTGTCAATGCAGTCATTTGGAGGCTAAAGAAAAATGTCTAACGTTCTGTAAAACCTAATGTGCTATAGGATAATAACTCTTATTTAATACTGTGTATTTACTTTATTTAGCATTTTGATATATGAGTATTAGAATTTAAATTTAGCTAATGGCTGTGCTGAAAGATATTTCTTTAGTATTATTATTTAGCTAGCTCCCAAATTCTTCATTGCACTCTCATTGCATGTGTAAATTATGGCTCTTGAATTGTTTTGGTTTATAACTCTGGGTATGATTTCTCTGCCTCCCATCTTTAAATTCCCTAGAAAGGTACTTGGTAAAACTGACTTCAGCTTGTCTGTTTGGGAAGAGCACAGTTATCCCAATTGATGCCTTTTGGCCATTGTGCCAATGGTCCCACATTAAAAATCCATTGGTTTTTTTTAGCCTTAAACTGTAACAAAATAAAATTTATACAAAGCAGCATTGCACCTAAACACACAGAACTTAAATAATTATCCACATTCTGCAGTACCTTGTAGCACTACCTTGCTTAGACACTGGAGTTTCATTCTGGTTTAAAGGCTGTGGCACTGTAGAGAGGGGTGTGTGATTAGAGTCAGAGCCGGACTAAAAAGGAGTGTGAGGGCAGCTGGATGAGGCAGCTGCTAATAAGGATAAGATAGAAAGCTCAGGCTGGGAAAAAAGTTGCCATGGGTGAGAACAATAAAGACTGAAGAGAAGGAGAAATGAAGAAAGTAAAAGAATGAAAAGTGATCTTAGAATGAATTACCTGTAAAGGATTTCACTGTTTTGTTTGAACAAAAGAGTAACAATGCTGTGCAGAAAACGAGTGGGTTTTTTAACTAGATGATGAAATATTAGAAAATGTGCTTGAATTGACACAGTAATTTAAACTGGTTTGCTGCTGGTTATTCTAGAGACTGAGCTGATCAGCATAAAATATGGAAAAGTTGAAAGAAAAAGGATCCAGCTATTTCAAAAGTAATTTGTAAAGGCATTTTACTAAACTAATATGGACTAACTGGTCAAAGAAATCATGTAGTAGCTGTCCTCTGAGAATCAAATAGTTGAAGATTGATTTGGCATTTAGCATTTCTAATTCTGTTATGCATTGTTTTATGGCATTTCAGATTCCTGTATGAATCATCTCTGAAAATTTTGGATGAGTTTTTGAATCCTTGAGCACGCAGAAGCTTTTGTCATGAAAATTGAAAGAAGATGTATTGCTTTTTAAAAAACTTGTATTGTAAACTTGTGAATTGTTTAAGATTGTTTTCTGTTATTCTGTACATTTAAAGCAAGCAAAATGTATAAAAATGTATAAAAGAAATTATGTAATAGTATAGATTTTTCAACAGCTGCAAAGTTATTATTCTGTATAAAAATGTCTTCTTGGGGGGAGTGTAAAAACAGTATTTTTGTATCTTTGTTTTTGTAAAACAAATAAAATTGTATCATAGATACTCTTGAGACTGAGGTCACTCAGTCCCTGGGAGAACTAGACCATATTTCTAAGGATTGTGGAAATGAGTCTTACTTGAAGATATGTGAGGGTCAAAATGGTGATTTGGAATAGCCATCATGGCTTTACCAAGGGCAAACTCTGCCTTATCAATCTGATTTCCTTCCCTTTTGTAGTAGAAGAGAGAGCACAGAATGTCCTGTTTCCTATCCTTGGTGAAGACTTTTACACAGTCTTGTATCCTTAGAGCCAAACTGGAGGGAGATGGGATGGAGGGGTAGACTTGGAAGATGAGTGGGAAACTGGCTGGACCATCAGAGTGGAAGAAAAATCTGCTGAGGGGTGAGATTGCCACACTGGCAGCTGTGGCTGTGGCACTGCTGAGGGCAGGCCCTGCTGCCAGGGCTGATTGGTGACAGGGTGAGCAGCAGCCTTGGATTGATGGCAGATGACAGCAGCTGGGAGCCACAGCTGACACCGAGGAGCATCTCCTGCTGTTCAGCAAAGACCTGGACCTGATGGACAAATCCTACACCATTCATGCAGGCACCTGCATGAGGGCACCTTCTTGCTGCCTGCAGCTGCCTGAAGGAGGATAAAGGACAGACATTCCCCAGAGATGAATGGAGGAGAATATGAGCCTACAGAAACAACTTGAGCAAGAGTTTCCTGTTGGACATGAAAAACAATCGTTATGAGAGTGAATTTGAACTGGAAGAGGTTACTCAGAAAATCTGTGGAACACCCATCCTTGGAGATGTGCAGAACTTGGCTGACAAGGAGGACTCTGACCTTCCATGGTATCCCAGCTTTGGACTTAACCCTGCTGAGCTGGGGATTGGATCAGATTCTCCCTGAACTTCCTCATGATTTGAATATTCAGGTGATTCAGTACCCACTACACTAGGGGAAAGTGTCTTAACTATTAAATACATATTTAAGTAATATATAAATTATTTTATATTTAGCTATTTTTAAAAAATTTGGCTATTTTGATAAGTTAGTACTAATGATGCAGATAATGCAGGCATCTAAGCCACTTATTTAATTTTCTTCATGCTCTCCGAAGACTAAAACAGACTCTTCATTCTTGATTAAGATTTGTGCAAAGCTGTACCTCCCATCTGTTTAAAGAATGCTGATTGCACAATGTTATTTTGCCTTAATGGCAATACCTGTAAATTACCTGTCTGAGCTCATGGGGTGGTTCAAGCCCAGCCAGCAGCCAGGCACCACCTCAGTGCCTCCTCCCCTTCAGACATGGGGGCAGGACTGAAAGGGTACAAATCAAAAAGAAACAGTTGAATAATTAGGAAAATTTTTCTAATTGTGAGGAAAAGAGATAAAAAGAGAGGGAAATAAAACCACCCAGCCAGTCCCTAGGCAGTGTCCTCCTCACAACCTCTCCCCAGTTTATTGCTGAGCGTGGTGCCATGTGGTATGACATCCCTTTGGTCACTTGGGGTCCCCTCCATACTCCTGATGCACTCCCAGCCTCCTTAGGGGTGGGGTGAGACACAGAGAGGCCATGATGTTGTGCAAGCCCTGCTCAGCAGTAGCTGAAACATCCTTGTGTTATCAGCATACATCCAAACCACAGCCCTATGCCAGCTACTGTGAAGGAATTTCTCTCAGCTAGAACCACACCTCCTGATGCTTTAGTTTTGTCTGGTTTAGGAGATTTGATAGAAATCTCAAAAAAACTATTCAGCTACAGACCAAAGTCGCATCCTCCAGCTTAGACCTGGAGACCTGGACAAGTAGCACTTGGTTGTCTACAGTTAAGTGAAGTGATTCTCAGGGTGGGCCTGTGCAAATGGCTATTGAGTCTCCAATGCTGCTTGAGTGGCACTGACACTAGAGTTAACCAATTTGGCCAAATTGAGATGGACTCTTCACTCTTGATTAAGATTCGTGCAAAGCTGTACCTCCCATCTGTCTAAACAGGCATCTACGCTGCTGGTTTTCTTTCTGTGGTAAGAGACTAAGGTTTTTCTCAATATCTGCTGTCAGTGCAAACATCAGAGCCATAGTTGCCCTCGGTACATAAAACTTCCCTACTAGATAAAAGCTGTTTTTAGCTGGAATGTTGATATTTGAAAGCAATGCAGTTCTTAATAAACAACCTGCAAGCTTTGCAAAAGGATAGACAGTGTGTGCATGGATTCATAGATTCCAGGTTTACCTCATCCACAGCAGTGGCCTGACCAAAGGAACTAATGCTGCCCCAGCAGGTAGCTGCAGATCTGCCAACTGTTTATCTCTCAACATCTTTATAAAAACTGTGTTCTTTGGCCTGCATTCTTCTACATCTGTTAACAGGCAGGTGTTCCGGTAATGACCTTTTAAATCTTCTGATTATACAAATTACTCAATGAATATGTAAATAAGTTTCTTTTTTCTGCTTCTCAGTCTCTCAGTATTTGCTCATATCATTAGATTAGAAAAGAATCCAAATTTACTGCCTTGTTTTTCTTCAGTATATAATTTTGCTTTTTTCATGGAGTTCATGGTACAGATGCAATAGCCCTATGCCTGAAGGAAATAAAGGTCATTCCATCAACATCAGAAATATGTGGATTTCCTTTGAAGAGCTCAGAGGTGATACTGCTAGGAAAGGTAAAAAATTTAAAGAAAAACCTTTGTCTTCCTGGTGGTTGGTACTCAAGTGGTTCTTAAGAGGGTTGAAATAATTTTCTGTTAGCCCTGCAGCTGGTGAACATATTTCAGCTCAATTTCTAGTGTGGCTCTACTAAACTGCTCTGCCATGAAAAAATGTTGTATTTCTGCAACACAAATAATGGTGTTGGGATTCCTTGAGCCAAGGTCTGTCAGGGCTTTCTCCTTAGGCCTTTGTGGCAAATTTCACAAGAATATCGAAGGAGTTCTATGTTTCATTTGCTGTTCTCATTCCAAACTTTATTCTTGCAAAGATTTAAATCTACATTTTCCTTATGTTTGAAAGATCCAAATAAATAGGACATTTCTTGCTGTTATCTTTTGTAAACCTGTAAAACAGATTTGCTTCATCTTATTAATCAAAAGTGCTGTTGGGGAAGAGGTGTTGTTCTTTTGGTATGTTTGAAAACTTCCCTTAGTCTTGAGACAGCCCCTTTGAGATCCATTCAGCTTTTTGAAGAAGTTGAACCTGATTTTGATTAATAAAAGTGCTTGAAAAATGAGCAAGAAAACACCAGTCTATGGCACTCCTTTGGGCAACTGGCACTGGCAGGTGCTGCCTGCAGAAGAAACTTTCTGGTCACAGTTGTACCTGTGAGTGCCATATCTGGAGCTCTTCCCTTTGTGAATATGCATTCAGGAACAATGAGACTGGAGAAAGCAATAACTTTAAACTACTTTCAGTAATCAATGTTTGTAATGCCAATGTTCATTTACTTTGTTGTCTGGATGGATCTGCCACCTATCACAGCTTCAACTTGTGAGCTAAAGAAAAAACAGAAATTCTCAAGCTTCTTCCTTAGCAAATAAATGTTGAGATATAAAATCCAAGCATACAAACCTTTAGAATAGCCAGGGAAGTTAAAAAAAACTCACCTTGTACCTGTTGTTTACTCAGTGAGAGCTGCAACTCACTTTATATTTAAACTCCCATGTGCTGCTGCTCTCAAGTGTTCTGAGGTCTTCTGACTTTGAGGGCAATCAGACTAATTTTGACAAAATCTTTTACCTTACTTGAAAGATGCTTAGTGAAGGACACTCCTGATAATGGCTGTGATGTGAAATCATGACACACATGAACAGCAGTGTGAACTGATGAACTGGGGACACAGAACTTTGCATATTCTTTGGTGATCTGCTCCAGTGTGTCGCAAACCAAGACCATTGCAGAGTCCAGGCATGCCTGTGCCAGGAGCCCCTGTTGTGGCAGCTGCTCATGTCCAAGAGAAGAGCATGGCTTACTACTGGCACCTTCCCAAGCAGCTGGCCAAGGGCAGCTTTCAGGAACAGCTGCAGAACTTTCCACGGGAGGCCAGCAGTTCTTCAGGTTCATTAAACCCTTGCAGATAGACACAGGTCTTGCCTAATCTGCTCTGGATATGAATTCTTGGTTCTGGACTCTGTGTGGCTGCTTGTCTGAGCATGACCTGAGGCACAGCCCCAGGCTTCCAGCAGTGCTGTAGCTTTGTCTTTCATTTACTCTGCAGTCTCTGGGGGTTTTTCACTTGGCTGGAGTGTTCAGCATAGATGTGTTCTGGGTCTTCTCTAATCACCTTCCACTCTCTCCAGTTCTGCATCATGGTTGTAGCAAAGTTGTAGAAATGATATGCTGTAGCACTGAGGAAATTTCATTCTCTATTGTATCTGTCACCACTCTTTGAAAAGTGTGGTAGTAGGAGTTCTGTTAATTTTATTTTGTTACTGCTCATGACTAGTACACAGAAACTGTTACCAGTCTTTTTCTCTTGTGTCATTCTTTTTAACCAGAGGACCACTTTTTCTTAGCAAAACAACTTGGTTCTCAAACACATGACTTGACAATTGTTTATTTCATGGTGCTTACATTACTTAAGATGTCACTTTACTAGTTTCTCCCTATGTAAAATTCTGGTATTTCGTTTCATATTCTGTCAATTTGTCCCAATTTCAAATATATGTTCAAACTTCATTAGTTTATGCTTATTTTTTGTGCTGTCATTAATGAAAATATCAAATAAGATGCTGTTCCAAAACATCATTAATAACTACTTTTCATCCTAATCTAGTTCCCTCTTCCATTCAGTTGGTTCCTTACCCATTTTACTACACCTACAATAAATCCTTGTCTTGGGTCGATACATTTTTATTATACTGCAGTAGCAGATGCTCTGCTATTAAGCCTTACATTTTTAGCAGGTACAGTTTAGCAGTTCTTGCTGGAGAGGCAGGTGAATCCTGTGTGACCCCATGCATCAAAGGACACAGAGGATAGAGCCAGCCCAGCTTCCTTTAATTCCTTTCTTTGCAATGTGCAATGGTGTGTGCTTCCTGCCTTTTGGGGTAATTATTAAACTTAAATTATTATTAAATTAGATAAACTTTGTGTTAGCTCAGCTTCCATCTAAATAAAGAATATTGATTTGGCTTTTTTTTTTTTTTTTGTTTCCTACTATTGACATCCTTACCCACTGCCTAAAACGGTACCTGAGCAACAAGCTTCTTAGTGAAAAATTCAGGTCTGTGCACAGACCTTTCTGAAATCTTGCCATGATTATTAAAAATAGGTGTTTGCAACTTTATTTTCTCAGAACACCCTCTAAAGGAAAAATACAGCATCTGTAAAAGCCTACAAATCCAATTAGGCCACTCTAGGACAGTACTTAGAAAAAGAACCAAAGCAAAACAAAACAAAAAACAAAACCCAAAGTAACTCTACTTCCTGCTCTGGTTCTGCCTATTTAAGGACAGTTTGATTGTCCTGCACTGAGGGAAAAGCTCCTTTGACTGGATAGGCTCTTTTTACTGATCACACCGCCAAAAACTCTCCTTTCTTACACCATCTTCTGTGGATCCTCCAATCCTCCAATACACAGGATAAAGGACTTTTACTCTCAGTATTTTCTCAATTCTGCACAAAGAGAAATTCTAAGGCTTGTTCTGTATTTAAAAGTGGTCCTTTATTAAAGGGGATTGTCCTTCCTGACAAAAATTGTTACCTTTCTCTTCTATCCCCAGTTTACCTTTCAGGGGCTGCTCTCTTGGTCTGCAGGACAGTGGTTTTCATGGGTCTGTCCCCCCACAATGTGTAAAACACTTTTTTGCCAGTGCCTGAGCTGGTCACTGGACACAGCAAATGAGTTTGCCTTGTGTACAGGAGCTGCTGGGAAATGTGCAATGACCTCAACAATCTATATTCAAACTCAAGGACAGTAGTAAAAACGTCTGAGATGGACGTCTGCACTCCATGTCCCAAGAATCTGATTTTTAAATGAAAGAACTTAAAGGTGGGTTTACCATCTTCCAGATCAGTTTTTTTTTTCTTTTGTGTTTCCTATTGTCAGAATTTTAAAAGTTAATGTTATGCTAGGGCTCAAAAAGGATATAAACCCAGTCTATCTGCAATGAAATTGAGAACTGTTTGATGCAAGAAAGAGATCAAGGGATCTGATTACAGCCTCCTGGTTCCCTGATTTGATCTACACTGGAATTGACAGCAAACTTTGGCTCCTAAGCCATCCGTCACAGGTTAGCCAGCCTCTGGGGGATTCTTATCTTCCCTTTGAGATCACAGAGCCTTAAACTGCCTGAGTAGCACATAGAGATCAGGGAACCTAGCCTGCAGTTTTTAATTTATCAGTGGATCATGATGCATTGATTGAATGCTTAAAAGCAGGCCTGTTTCAGTGTGATCTAATATTAGAAAGCACTCTGTGCTATCTGATGAGACACTCTCCTGGGCAATTAGCACATCTGAACAGGTGTGATGCTTTTGACTCTGGAAATAAATTGACTTCGTGGAAAAAAATACGTGGAAGCATTTTTTTTGGTTGGATGGGAGGGTTTTGTTTGTTTGTTTTTTAACTATAGCAAGAAGGAAGCAAGTAGTTTTTTTTTCTTAAATCTATTTGTCAACACCATCTTCATCCTCTCGGCTCTCAAGCTTGCTGTTGCAGTTCCAGTTTAGGACAGCTCTTCTATCTCTAAATTTATTAATCTGCTAATGAAAGAAAATGCCTGTTAAAAGTTTATTTTTTTCTTGCTATTTTTTCTAATTGTGTTTAATGTAATTCTTGCCAATAGAATTTTGTTCCTTTACCATTTTTCACCATGATTTTCCTTTCTTCATTCGCAATCTAGGAGATTAAATGATTGAATATTAAGTGTCCATCACACACCTCAGAGCAACAACCTTGTTCATCTGTTTGTGTACCTCTTTGTTATGCACAGTAGAAGCTGTGAAGAAAAGTTCATGGGAGATGCCCAGCCTAGGAGGAAGATTCCCTTGAGAAGCAAAGTAGGTGTTTTTGTTTGGCTTTTGATGCTTCTTTGGAACACTTTGAACTACAACAGGGAGTGATAGGAAGACTTTTAGAGGAGTGATTCAGAACAGAAAAAGATCATTGTCTTTCCTATTATTCAACTTTTAACACTTTCTCCAAAACCCATGATTGTTCTCAACATAATCTTGTATTTGCAGAGACACATAATGTAATTTCAGTGTAGTCCAAACAATGTTCCTCTCTCTAGCTGTCATTTTTTTTTTTTTCTTATCACAGCATACCCTCAAAAAGTGACCTTCCTTTAAAAGAAACACATCATAGGCAATGGTGCAAGCAGTCTTGTACTCTGAGTTATCAGAATGCTTTCAGTAAGACTTTCTAATTTTTTAAACTGGAAATTATGTGCTTATTTATTTTTTGTTCATTTTTAGCTATCCAAAATAACCCATGTCAATAAGCATTGTTAGAAAACTGCAGTGAAAGTGATGTAAGCTCAGTTGTTCCTGCTCCATTCTGAGTTGCAATCAAACATATTGGTCAATTTTACATTTCCTTTACAGTGTACCAGGAGGAAAACATCCTCAAGGATACTCTAAGCTTATGGACACACAGCAGCTATAGCAGATGTTCTAACCTCTGGGCAACCACCAGATTTGCTTCTGTGTTTTACAGTATGCAGGACAATGTTTCCTGGATAGAACAGAGAGGATGAGCTTTCCCCCAAGGCAGATTGTCTCCAGTAACAAGCAGCCAAAGAGAGAGAGAGATGCTGGAGAAAATAATGGAGACGAGCACAGGTGACTTCTTGACAGTTTGCTGTCCCACACTTCCTCTCACCAGCACAGCAAGGGGCTAAAACATGCAAGAATCTGCACTTTGTGCTTTGTGAAACCAGATCCTCCCTGTATGTTTTCAGGATAAGAGGGATGGCCTCAAGCTGTGCCAGGTAAGGTTTAGATACTAGGATCAATTTCTTCACTGAAGGGGTGGTCAAGCATTAGAATAGGCTGCCCAGGGAAGGGATGAAATCACCATCCCTGAAAGCGTTCAATAGATCTGCGGATGTGTCACTTGGGGATATGGTTTTGTGGTGAACACAGCGTTGCTGGGTTAATGGTTGGAGTAAATGATCTTGGAGGTCTTTTCCAATCTTAAAGATTCTATGATTCTTTGAAACACATAAAGACATGGTTTAAGAGTGCTATTAGAGCTGAAAAGTCAGGCACTCTAAAGTCAAGTGATACTAAAATGAAGATGTGCACAGCTTTAATCTCTCCTATGACTGTGTGTCAAATGACATATCCTCAATCACATTAAGAGAAGTCACTCATTCTACACAAGTGTTCCCTGTACCTTCTCTATGATCATGCAGACCCCTTGCTGTTGATGACACAGCAAATGGTCAGTGCTTTTATCCCCTCATGGTTCAGCACACAGCTCCACACTGAGCCTGCTGCCTGCTGTTCGTACCCAGCTCCTTCTGCAGTGGCGTTACTATGGCACTACTCACTGCAGTCCCAGAATTTCACAGTGATTCATGTCTCTTTCCAGTTCCCTGTAGGTTTACTTATCACCATCTTAAAAATGCACAGTGACACTAAGGTAAAAAATGTCATGGATTTTTTCCCATGTTTGTCAGATTATAACACTTGTTGCCTCAAGGCATCCATCTCCAGCTGCGGGTGCTCAGCACTGGAACCAGGCTGCGGGTTCTGAGTTGGGTACAGCAGGTGAGGGACACATAACCAGAGCCTCCCCAGCAGCTTCAATCAACTGCAGGCCAATTCTTTCAGAATGACAAAGTGCAGTAATCTCATTCATTCTTTAATTGAGCATAAGAGGAGTGGGTATCCCAGGGGATTAGTTACTCGTTGTAAAATCCATTCACCAAGTATCAAGTCTTAGAGATTAGCAAAGCTGGATGAAAACAGAATTTTTAAACTGCTTTTGAACTCCCTCCCATTAAAAGAACCTAATTAGTTTAAAAAATTGTCTCCCTACTGACATTTCAAATCAATTTTGATCAATGGTAACCAAATCTAATTATTCATTGCTCACCTAAGGGTTTCAAGACGGTTTTGAAGAACAAGAACCTATTATCAAAAAACATTACAATTGTCTAATCCTTTCACTTGGCTATCCCATCGTGGTGTGCTCAGACAGCAAGTTTTTCAGCTGTGCTGAGGCCTCTAAATGCCATGAAAATCAGCAGAAATTCATGTTGTTTCATTTTGAAATCTGTCTTCAGTGACTACAAAACAGGCAAGTCACCATTCAGCCTGTGTTGAACTGAGGTGACAGTGGGTATTAGCAGGAAATACAGTCTTTCTCAGTCAAAAGGGACCAGCTCTAGAGCACCTCACCTGGGCTTGTTCTCACAGAGGCCATCCCTCTCCCAGGGAAGCCCAAATTCCCTTTTATAGCTTGACACCAGATATAAAGATGTCAGAATGGCCTCAGAGTTGGATTCATGAGTTACTGTAGCCCTCCCTTGAGACACAGGGGTCTATTCTTCACAGGTTCTGGACATCCGCACATTCCAACTTTGCCTTCTCTTCCAACAGCTTCGGACCAAACACAGCTTCAGCAACCTGTTTCCTGTAGGTATCACTATAAGTGGTATTTGAACAAGTCAGCTAGAATTTCAGATGAGTCTTAAATGAATTTGGGTTCCATCCAGACCTGCAAATGC